TTAATTAGTTCTCACACCCCCTCTTTTTAAAATGATAAAATAAAATACCTAAATTAACCTCTATTATTTTAAATACATTATTATTCTTAAAAAAAATTGTTAAACCTTTTTACCCTCAACTCATTTCCTCTCTTTCTTCTGTACTTCTCCTATAGCGAATTCATCACCTGTCCATCCTCAGGCTATCTGCACCAGCCTCTCCGGATTTTGGCTCTCTAAAAAAGCCACATCAGATTTTTCAAGAGCCACATCAGCGATTCCAAGAACCACATCAACAGTTTTCGCTCTCCAGAAACATGCACTCCATCAGGCTCTCCTAATTTTCGCTCTCAAAAAAATAATAATAATAAGTTAAAATTAATTTTTTTTTTTTTTTAACATTTCCTAAACGGCTATATTTTTAGGGTAAATTATACCTAGACCCCCTGTAGTTAGGTCATATTACACCTATATGAACATTTTGGTTTTAGATTTCACTTGTATATGAATTAGTGATTTAGCATTTCACTTGCACCCCAAATATGAATTTTAGGACTTTTGAAATGTTAAAAGACTATACTACCCTTTGGCCTCATATTTGTAACCAAACTACCCATGACCCCTCCCCCCGGTGAACCTTCCTCTCTCTCTACCTCTCTTTTTCCCCTTTCTCTCTCCCTTCTCACAAACCCTCACAACAGATACGCAAATACACACTGACCCAGTTCCAGCGAAACAAAACTCAATTCCGGCGACCTCAGTTCATATCGGCGTGGCCCAAGCAACGACGGGCGTCTAGTCAAAGCAATCAACGATGAAGACGTCAGCTGTGGCTGTGGGTTGTGGAGCTGTGATGCGGCGGGCCGGCGGGGGTGGTATATGGTGTGGGTGATATATATGTGTGTGTGTGATTTGTTGGAAAGTGGGAAAGAAACCCTAAATCGAAGAAAGAAGACAAGGATTCAACGCCGTCGAAGGCTTCGACATCATTGTCGTCTTCTCCACTGTCGTCGCCGTTTGACTTGACAAATCGTCGTCATCGGCGAATTGATCCCATCGTCTCTCCTGCCGCCATAGCGACCACCTCCACCACGACCTCTTTCACCACCGCCGCGACTGTAGCTACCTCTCTCCATACAGATACGCGACTGTAGCTACCTCATTAATTTTCTCCCTTCTCACAAACCCTCCCGCCGGAGCACGAGATGAGGATTTTTACCGCCGATTACGACGCCGTCGAGGCTGTAAGCTTGTAATCCGATGTCTCACTGCCTAGATATATTGATTGGGCCACCGTAGAGGTTGTAATCCGACACCCGCCACCGATATCAACTTGCTCTTCAACGTCGTCTTCAACAATCGACTTCGCCTTCAATTCTGTCATCGAAGTCCGTTTCGGTAGTGGATAGGATGGGATTTTGTGTATTTTTGGGTTTGGTTTTAGGTGGGTGGTGGTGATGAGGTGTTGGGTGGGGGTACAGTTTGGTTTTGGGTGGGTTGGTGGTGCAGGTGTCAGGGTAGGACGTTGGTGGTGATGAAGGTGTTATTAATGGTGGGAGCTGCCGGTGTTAAATATATATATATACACACACACACACACCCACAGATATATATATATAGGTGACAGATATATATATATAGGTGACAGATATATATATATAGGTGTTGAATATATATATATATATACACCCACACATATATATATAGTATAGGCTTTTTTGTCATTTAAGATTATATATATGTATTAAAAAATTGAGGGTAAAATGGTCAATTCACATATATCAGAAATCAAAAAGTAAATTGGGGTGTAAGTGAAAGTTAAAACCAAATCTTCATCTGGCTGAAATATGACCTAACCTCAGGGGGTCTAGGTGTAATTTACCCATATTTTTATCGACTATATTTTTTCAATGGCAATATTTTTCAATCGAACAATATTTTTGTAAATTATTAAAAAAAAAACTATGATTGATATTAGAACTTGAAACAATACATTATTCATTATGAATTAAAAAAAAAAAAACAAATTAAACAAAAAATTAAAAATAACTTAAACAATACAATATCCTAAATTGGAATAAGAAAATAAATAGACCAAGGATTACAAAATCCTATGGGAACTTTGGGGCGGACCATGAATTCAAAGATGCCAATATCTCATTTTGCCTTGCAATAATCCAAGCTTTCCCCGCTTCTGTTGGTGCCGAATTTGGATCTGTTAACATGAGTTCCTTCTCTTCAAGTCTCTATTTCTCTTTAATCTCTAACTGCCTTGTCTTCTCTTTCTCCATTTTTCTTACCTCTCGTGCCACTTGGACATCCTGCATTTTCTCCTAACGACTCTCAAAACGGGTGGTGATATTATTAAATTTCGAAACGAATGAAGTTTGCAATTCATTCGCTGAATTAATTTTTGCTCGACGTTACTTCGCTGCTTTTCTTCCTACTGGTCTTTGTAGTTGATATTCTTCCACACCGGGTGAATCATTTTCCCCTATATGTGGTGATTCTTCAGTTGAAGCTCCATCTATCGTGGCTGCATGACTTGACGGAGTAGATGGTAATGAGTGTCCAACACACTCATTAATGTCAAAGTCAAATCCACTCCTCTTCTTCGGCTCTATTTTCTTTTTTCTTTTTCCTACTTGTTCGGCACAATGTGAATTCCATTTATTGTTATGCTTCAAAATCTCCCAGCAACTTTCTAACTTAAATTCACCACCTGTTTGGCTACGAAATAGGTCTTTAGCTGCTATCATCTATACGAAAAAAAATAAAAAAAAATTAAAAGCTGACTATTTAAAATATTTACGAGTTATATTTAAACAATAAATAACTCACCATATCATCATTACTGAAGCCGCTTGAACGATTCATTTCTATGGTAGTCATGCAGCCGGAAAATTTGCTGATTTTTTGTTGCATCACCGACCAACGATTCATCAAACCTCCATAATTTCGCTCAGTTGGAACACCAATATGTTGTTTATATTATTCCAGAATTCGCTCCCATAACTTCTTCTTACTTTAGTCTGCCCCCGTAATCACATCAAAGGTAATGGACATCCACGCCCAACATAAAGCCTCATCTTCAGCCCTGGTCCAATTAGTAGGTCGGATAACCGGTTGTTTTGGTGGGGGTCTTGAGTTACTTGATTGTAGAATACTAGTATCACAATCATGATGAGAAGTTTGGGATGGTTGATCAGAAGAAAATTGAGAATCGCCTCCATAAAATTAATATTCTCTTCAGCAAATGGCAAAAACTCATCATTTGATGGGTTGAATTGGGTGTTGTAATAATATGGATGTCGAGGATCCATGGAATCGAAATGACTTTGAAAATAATAGCTAAGATTGAGAAAATAGAAGAAGAAATAAGTTGAATGGTAGATAATAGAGATGTGATGAGTGATGGTAGGAGTTGGAGTATTTATAGAGATTTTAAAATTTTTAATTTAAATTTTTTTTTTAATAAAGTTAAAAATTTTGAATTTTTAAACTTTTTTTTTTAAATTATAACCGTTAAGGCACTGTTTGATACTGTATAAACAGTGTCTTAACGGCCAAATACACTATTTGGCCTACACATTTAAAATTTAAAGTAAAAAATTTAAAAAAAAAAAAAAAAAAAACATATTTTAAGGGAAAAAACAAAAAAAAAAAAAGGTAAAATTTGAATTTTTAAACTTTTTTTTTAAATTATAGCCGTTAAGGCACTGTTTGGTACTGTAGAAATAGTGCCTTAACGGCCAAATACATTATTTGGCCTACACATTTAAAATTTAAAGCAAAAATTTTTTTTTAAAAAAAAAACAAATTTTAAGGAAAAAAACAAAAAAAAAAAAAAATGATTTTTTAATTTATTTTTGGACCAAATTTTTTTTTTTTTTTGGACAAACAATGCCTAAACAATATGTTTTTTATTTAATAAATTTTTTTTTTTTCCCCAAAAAAAAGAGCTCTAAATAACCTATTTTTAGATTTTTTTAAAAAAAATTTGCTACCAGACGTTTGAAACAAAAAACAAAACTGCCTAATGCAAAACGGCGCCGTTTTGCATTAGGGATCGCTAATGGGCCCCAATACTTATATAACTAGCCCGTTGCACTTCATACAGTCCATGCGCTCGCCGAAATTGGGCTTTAAAGAGCCCCGCTGCGGATGCTCTCGGATCAATTCCGAGAGTGCTTGATTAAAAGAGGACCAAGTTCTTTGAGCTTGGAATCTTCATGTGGTCTCCAATGGCTTCTGGCATAGAGCTTTAGGGTCCACTTTTCCTCTGATTACTTTCTTTATCCTCACTAGGGTTTAAAGCAATTACTTTCCTCTGATTACAATCTGTGGTTCAGCTAATTATTTAGCATAGTGTCACGGACCTAGAGATTTGGCGCAGCGGCACAGCCCGTGCGGCACCAAGGCGTTGCTTCAGCTCGCACAAGCGCCCTGATCAGCCACCACGACCTGCCCTTCCAAAAATACATGCTGATTGGTTTCGGCCTGCCATGACCTCGTCAGGGAAACGGCTCCAGCTCCCGACCAGTTTGTACAGGGATGACCAACTCCCTTCTTCATAATCAAGTCCACGACTAGCGACAAGCACCTCGAACTGAACCGAGTCGACCTGCCTGAATTTTGAAGAGGTACCATCCTGGTCCTGCACGGCCCCTTCCCTGAAACCATTCCCAGTCAAACTCTGCTCTTTGCCAACCAGCATGCTTGTCTTCCATCCTCCAAGCGTCTTAGGAATCAGTTCGTGACAATAGGCTGAGCTCCTCCAAAATTAGCTAGAGTCCCACTTTCTCTCTCTACCAGTTTACGGTTCTCTTTCTACATTTTCATTTTTCAGTGAGAGATCATGTCTTTAGGGGGAATGAAGGGGATGGATTTAAGGATGGTGTCGTACGGACGCGACATCAAGCCCGAGAGCGACACCACCACAGAACCGGTGCTCGACCGGACCCGCGAACTGCCGGTAAACCAGTGGTCATGAACCCCAAACCTACCGCCAAAGCCACTGTATGAGGAACCACGCGGCCGCGATCAGCAGCCACGCCAACGACGACTGCGGCGAGTTCATGTCCTCCTCCGTCGACCCACTAACGTGCACCGCCTGCTGATGCCACCTCAAAGAAGTGCAAGGCGGCGGCCACCACTATAGCAGCATGCTTCATTCTCCGCCGCCACCGGCAATGTTGACGTATAACTCCGGACCCAACAACAAAATCGGAGGGTTTGCTACAATGGGTCCCACTAGTGCTCATCTGAACGGTGGTGGGTTGTTTGGAGACGTTGATCTGCATGATCATCACGATCATGAGGTTGATCGACAGTCGGAGACACCGGAGAGAGAGGAGGTGGTTGATGGTGTCCGCCTTGCATGGGCAATGTCGTCGGCAGCGGCGACGGTGAGGAACAAGAGGTTCAGGACGAAGTTTGCGCAGCAACAGAAAGAGAGGATGTTGGAGTTTGCAGAGAAGTTGGGATGGATGACACAGAGGCAAGACGACGTCGCACTGAACCAGTTTTGCTCTGAGATTGGGTTAAACGTAAAATGCCGCAATACACATATAAGCAATATATTTTTATGGTTAAATAAAGCCAATGGTATAATAGTAAATTCACATTTTTCATACTTTAAAAAGGGGTGTGTGAGCAAAATTGTTTGAGGTTTAACACAAGAGTAATAAATTGAAGACCCAGGGATATGAGAGCATTTAGCCCTAGAATATAGGGCCAAAATTGACTTATTTCACTCTTTTTAAATATTTATATTTAAATATTTATATATATATATATATATAAGGTAACAAAATATCATGTAATTATATATATTATTGTTTGTATATTTTTATGTATATTTATAATAATAATAAAAAATTTAAGAGCAAAAAATGTATATTAAAATATTGTTTCATAATATGTGGTTTAAGTTGCCATTTATAATAATTTTAAAGTATATTTCATTTATTATTTAAACAAGAGCAAAAATAATATTTTTATTTTAAATCCAATTTATTCCAAACATATAAATATAATTTCATTTGAATTCCAATTCCTATTCCAATTCGGATTCCTTTCCAAATCCTGCTTAACACCTTCCCATTATAAAAGCCCCCCTAACAGCTTAGAAGAGAGATACACAGTCAGAATTTTCTCGCCCTAAAGCTTGAAGCAGGTTAGTCTCTCTCACCGTCTCTAGTTAGTTCAGGTTTGCTCTTTCTACTACCATTCTAAATATAATTTTTTTTTTTCTTTTATTTCTTCTGGTTCATCTGTTTTCTATAAATTTTTATTTTTTTTATAATTTCTACAGATCTTCTGGTTCATATGTTATGTGGTTGCAAGTTTTATTACATGATCTTCTGGTTCATATGTTATTGATGTGTTTTGAATGTCGGGTGTTCCTGAAATTGAGTTAAATATATTGTTTCGGTCACAAATGGATGTTTAAATCGATGATATAAATCAAACATACACGTAGGGAAACAATGGGTTTTTATTATGAGGAGCACTTTTTTCCATGATTTAATTGGACGCGAATGCATATTGATTCTGGGATTATTGATACTGTGATTATATGATTTTGCTGCGCCACCAAGTGTTCATTTGTATGCTTTTTCGGTTTAAATTCTATATAATTTCAGAGTTGAAATTGATGACCACTTTACCGACCCAACACTACAAAGAATCAATTTCATCTTCCTCTGCTTCGCATCATTACCGTCGGGCAAATTCAATTGCAACTTCTCATCTCACCAAATTAATTAATTTAGTTATGGGCTAAGTCACGAACCATGATTGAATCTAAAAGCTTCCTTCAAAATTCAACCGTTTCTTATTGAATTGGAGTCCCAAAAGGCGTTTCAGGGAGTTTCTCCATTGGATTGCAGATTTTGTACTTGTGAAAGGATCAATCAGAGGAGAGAGAGCACCGATCTGAAATTGCAGCAACTTAACAAGAAAAGAAAAAAAAAAGCTTGCTCTGTTTCTTTGATGGATCTGGTTTTAGAGAGAGAAAGGTAGAGAGAGAATTTGCGACCTTTGGATCCAAACACCCAATCAACTCATAATTGAGAATTACCTTTTAAAAATAAAAAATAAAAAAAACTTATAATTGTGAATTTGAGACACTCCCAAACACCCAGTAACCTAATTTCTTAAAATCCCTGAACCCCTCTAATCCCTCTCTTTCTCTATGTGTCTGTGTGTGTGTATATATAGTCTATGAGTCAGAATATATAATGGTCCCTCCGCCTGTGTATATAAATATATTTTCTCTCTCTCTCTATATATATAGTTTCTGTCCAACACAGATTTGTATGAGTAGATTTTTCCTTGTAACTATTATCACTGTTATATGGAACTTTTTCTAATCTATGTTTTCTTAATTGTTTTGTCAGAATTGACACAATTTAATATCTTTTCAATTTCTTGAATGTGAAGCAATGTAAATTAGTGGTTCTGGCATAAACTTAAAATCAACCTTCTATTTTGCTTTCAGGTACAATCTTAGCTCGGAGTCTGGCCTCAAGAAGTTCGACAATTATGGGTATGTGTCTTTGTCAATTGCTGAATCAGATTTATCAAATACTCAATTCCAACAGCACTGAGTCACAACTAAATATCCTTATTATTGCAATTTTTATTTAATTTCCTAACCTACATGTTTAGGTAGTAAATATGTTTTGATATGGGTACTTGTTTTGAAATTTAAAGTAATTACCTTAGAAAAGGAACGTAATATTACTGTTCTATGTAAAACTAAATTATATAGTTAACTTGAATTATAAAATATGCTTGCTAGAGGAATGTCTACCAAGAGATGTCGGACATATAGTCTCACACTCAAATCACGATTATATGTTATAACAGAGGAAATCAATAAGTAGATAGATGGCTTCAAGATTAGTAACATACATACATCTATATAATCCATACCACCCTATTTTTTTTGATAAGTATACCACCCTATTTTGGTCCCTTGAACTTCTTTGCTGGGAAACTCTACATAGAAAACCCTGATGGATATGGTTCAATTGCCGAAATGCTTATCATGAACTATTTTACCGGTTCCTCCAACAGGATGAGTTTTACATGTTTACTTTTGCTGCTTTTGGACCTTGCACATTTTTTTTTTCATGGAAAAAAATTTCCTTTCTGTTCTTATAAGTTCAATCTTGTTGTGTTTTTATTCTTCAGCTGGAAAGTCGTCAATTCTGTTGGATGTGAAGCCATGGGATGATGAAACTGACATGGAAAGGCTCGAGGAAGCTGTTAGAAGTATTGAGATGGAAGGATTGACTTGGGGAGCATGTATGTTTCTCTTCCTGTTGACTTGTCGTATTTCTTCTAGGAAGAAATGGATACTAATGTATTTTTTGGAAATGAAGCAATCAAGTCATATGTTTCTCAAATTAACTTGTAAACATCTGTTTGTTGCAGCCAATCTCGTACCTGTTGGATATGGTGTAAAGAAATTGCAGATTATGATGACCATTGTGGATGACTTGGTGTCCGTTGACAGTCTCATCGAGGAAAGACTCACAGTTGAGCCGATTGATGAATTTGTCCAGAGCTGCGATATTGTGGCCTTCAATAAAATATGTAAGTTCATTGCAAGGATGTTGTTGGGTGGTGTTGATAAATCTCACAATGAATCTATTGCTTAATGTGTTGATGCAACTCGAACAACTATACTGAATCTTGTTTTTAATTGTCTGATGATTCTTGTGACAGAAATTGAAAGCATGTTGGAGTTTTGCTCGGAATCGGTGCAGGAGAGGTTCGTGCTAGTGAAGAATGAAGATTCTGTTTACGCAGACTGATTTTAAGTCATAAATGTCCACTTTATTCCTATGTTTTCTTTCTCCAAGACTTTGATATTAAGAAGTATCAGTTACACCATTTTGGATTCTTATCTAAATTTATGCTTTTCTTCCTTTACTAGGGTTCTGGATTTTCTTCTTCAGGTTTCAACGAGTCATATTCTTACTTACTGTTGTATAGTTGGGAGATTGTTGGAGTGTGTAATATATTATATGTGGGGTTTATATATAATGCAAGGTTGTCTCATGAATGTGCCTTATTTTTAATATATTCAACATTCATCTACTTGGCTACTTTTTTTGTTCAATACTATTGGAGAAGTTGGATTCATTTTTTTGTTCAATACTATTGGAGTGGACTGGACTTTTAAACAGTTGGATTCATTTTAGACCGTCGTTCGTGTCTGCACGGCACACCAAATACCTGCTCGCTCGTAACGATCTCGGATTTGTCAATTGGGGTCTCTACCCCCGCGACCGTCTCACACACACACACACATTGCGATCTTGGGCTTCTTGCTTGGTTATCAATATCATTTTCATGGATTAGACAGTAATAACCAGGCTATGCTGGTTTTTATGTAATGAAAATGTTACCGAGTTCGTGGTACAATATTTTGAGTTTGTATGTGTGGAGTTGTTGGTCTTCTGTAGCTTTGCTACGAAGTTCATTCTTGTCATTGTTTTGCAAGTTCAGTGTGCCCCTAAACATTGTCGGTTCATGCAAGCAACTGGTAAAGTACAGTCATGGTCGGTTGAAATTAACTATGATGTTTCAAAAAGTTATCATCTTTGAAAAATGTTGATGAATTTAAAGTTCGAAGTGTAATTTAGAGATTGGAATTTGGAGACCGTATAATGGTATAACTGAATATAACAACCAAATTTTTAGCCTAAAGAGTTTTCGATATGATGTCAGTAAGTCTAGGTTTGGTGGTACCAAATTGATGCATTAAAATTGCAAAATATATATATATATATATATATATATATATATATATATATAGTTTAATTCAATTTCAATTTCAATTTCAATTTCAAAGCATCACATCAATAAAATTGCCTAGAACACAATTAAGCGGAACTAAAAAGTAAAAACAGAATAGAAAACTTCTCGAAATAGTTGTTTAATTTTTTTAGAATAATTTTCTATGAACTAAAATTATAAAAAATGTATAAAAATTTATTTGGTTGACAATATTTTAGTGTAAATCTATTTGATAACAATTTTTTATATATTTTTTTAAATTCTTGAGAATTTTTTTTAACCAAGCATGTTATCTCTTTTAGCGTAGTTTTAAAAAAGGGTCCATTAAACAAATTTTTATACAACACATTCTCCAAATAAACAGGCTCTATTATACAAGCTCGCGAAGCTCAAGCATTTGAATGGATTTTGGGCCCAACATTGTTTAGGACTGATCACCACAATGATCTGTCCCGGCCCGCCAAATGTTTACAGAGTCTGGAAGGACTTGTCATTACAAGGTGAGAGAGAGGGGTGGGTTTTCCCGTTTTGGGTCTCAGGCGGGGCTGTTTCTCTGTGCTTTGTATGTGTGTGAGTGTGTGTGTTGTGTGTGTGTGTGTATATATAGAGAGAGAGAGTTAGAGAGAGAGGAGAAGTGGGGAAGGATGCCAAAGAGGACGACACACACGTACTCGAGCGAGGACGCAAGACCAGATGGTCATGACTCTGATCTCTTCGTCTATTACTGCAAGCACTGTGGATCTCATGTTCTAATTACTGGTTTGCCTCTCTTTCTCTACTTTTTCTCGATCCCAAATTGATCTTTTCCTAGCTCTAGAATGGTCTCAATTGAATTAGACATGCTCTATTATATCTATATCTATCTATCTATATTTATAAATGCATTGTTACCCGTGTTAGAAAATTTTGGTTCAGATTAATTTTAGGTTCCGTTTTCTTCTTGTTTTCATCTTTAATTGTTGGGAAATGATCTCAATGCCAAAATTAGCCATAAATTTGTGTAGTTCCTTTTTAAAACGAATTAGTTTGTTCTGTAGCTGTGTGTATGTGTAATTCTATTGGGTGTGGATGGGGGATTTTGAGTAAAAAAAAAAAAAAAATTAGCTGAAAGAGAGTATTTATTGTCTTCTATATATTCTTCTCTATATTATTTTATCTTTATAGTCCATAGTTTTATACAAGGAACTACTGAACTCAATTACTTGTTGCCATTACCTGAAGGTCTATTCTGTAGAGGTACTCAAATTGGACTTCCTGGTTTCGTTGTAAACTTGATTGGTTAATTCCAGTTATGCAAATCAATAGTTCAAACTTCTGCAGGCACTCCCCCCTTTTTTATAGGAACTATTGTATTAAATGTTGTCCCTCTGGATGTAAAATATATCTCTTCTCACCATCCCTGCAATGTGTGAGAAACGTATGCATTCTTCCCCTAATGCTAGACTGACAATATTAACTCCCCTATCATCCGCATAAGGGCTCCCAAGGTCCCCTTCCTCTTGTTAGGATCGATTGTTTGGCTTGAGCTTCAGTGGTTGACTTGCTCTCCATGTTCTAGCCTTCAAAGAATTCCGAGGATGTTTGCCAAACACACAACTATCACAAATTTTATTGTCATAGTCATACAAAGGCAAACCAGAAAACCGGAGTCAAAATTTCAATCATGGGGTTAGTCGCTAGTATACATGACATATCGAAACTGCCGACTGGTGAAATGCTGCTCGAAATCATATAGTTAATTAATGAACCTTTGTTTAGGTTATTTATTGGTAATGTACTCCCTTTGATGTATTTTTATCATGGTGGACGAGAAAAACTGGGTTGCGCCTGTTGCACCTTGCAACGGGCATATCCAACCGTACATTACCACACTTGTAATTCACGTGCTCACGCGTGTATTACACACATGGTTTGGATGCGCCTTTTGCATGGTGCAACGGGCGCAACCAAGTTTTTCTCATGGTGGAGACTCCTAGGGCTGCAAGTCCAGCCGCCATCATGCTATAGGAGATTCTGATGTGGGTGCTTAAATTCTCTATTTTTTTTTTATTTTTTTTTTTTGGGCAAAAGAAACCCCATGTGTCAAATAGGCGGTCCACTGCCTCTCCTTCTAAGGTACAAAGGTCAAATTGCTGATCTATGGGGGATATAGTTGATTTTGTGAATTCTTTGGCAGTATAGTGGGCCCTCTTAGCCCTTGTTTTCACTTTGTAATGTGCTTCCCTCTTGAGCACTTTTAATGAAATTCTATTTATAAAAAAAAAATTATTTCATTTTGTCTTCCTGCTTAGGAAGAAGAAGTACAGGAACCTTTTTCTTTTTTGGTTGGTGCTTTTAGAACTGTTGGGAGAATAAAATAGGTTTGAACCCTATACTAACTAGATAAATTTAACTAAAAGGCCATGTTACCAAAGAGATGAAAAAAGTAGCAAACAAACAGAAAAGGCTATGTAAAGCACCATTAACCATCTATTTCCATCGTAAGCCCTTCTTATGTCAATTTGTGCTTTTATCTCTGATGTCCTTTATCTTTAATGAAGTGACAAAGTCAAATATGTTCCTGTGCATTACGTGGATGTATATTCTTTTTTTGGTACTTGTTTGTATATTCTTAAAGGTGATATCTAACTTTTTTTGTATTGGACTTTTTGAAATGAATATTGCTGTTGATTTTTAGCGCGTAAGACCTTATTCTGTTGTAGAGTCTGTAAAATTATCGGCACATGTCATTCCATTGGATATATAAAGTAGACAAGTTATTTGCCTCTTTAATCTAATGCTCACTGTCTTGAAGCACAAAGTATAATATCCTTTTAATTGATCTGTGTTGGATATCGATAGATCACTTGATTGTAGATATTGAATTCAACTACTTTTGATATGGGCTCCTGCTGGGAAGAACTTCCGTGTTATATGTTATATTTAATTTCTGTTAAAGCATTCTTTATTGATGCTAGGAAACTTCCATAGTAAAATATATTTTCTGTAAGATACCCAATTGCAGAAAATGCCAAAAAGGAAGACTGACAAAGCATATGTATTGGACAAGAATAAGCATCTTGCAAGGCTCAACATAAATGAGGGAGGAAAAGTTCTGTTGAAACGGTGATGACCCATTATACTTCAGTGCAAAGTTTTGTGTTCATTATCACATGGATTCTTTTTCATATTTCTAATTCCATTTTTTAATGTATTCAAATGCTACTTTCTACTAGAGCCTAAACATTGCTTTAGGAAAATAATTTAGAAAAAAGAAGAGATATCAGGATAGATTTATTTCTAATTGTTAAGACTTGACTCATAATTTTTTCCAAAAACTGTTGTTATTTATTGGCCATTGTAATTGAACAACCTAGAAATTTTTAGCGTTCTTATGAGAAACCTAGAAACCTTTAGCGTTCTCATGAGAAGTGCATTGAGGTGCATGTGTAAGGTTAATTTTTGCTACTAGCCTTTTGTTTTAGCGACATAATTTTGGGTCCGTCCATCTGCTAAAAGTATTTGATTGTCATTAAATCTCAAATTCTGGGAGTCAAATGCCAATTTGATATAGCCAATAGTAGAGGAGGATGCCATTTCTATTACTGTTGCAATGAGGTGTTGCATTCGTGTCATATGATGCAATTGTTACCGAAAAGGTTACCCCACTATATTCATAATAATCAACTTTAAATCACTAGCCTATGTAGAGGCTCACCGGATACCTCCTTTTAGGTTTAACCACAAACTAGAACCACAACTTTTTCAATTGACCGTGGTGTCCTGTAGCAATAGAGGAAAATTTATCTCTGAAGCACTTGCTAGTAGATTCTTTAGTATTTAGATGTGTCTGTTGCTTCCTTACTGATGCATGTGTTTCTATAATTTCTGCTGCGTATAATGGTGGTTCCTTTTTTTATCATAGGAAATGATGCGTTTTTTGCTTGTCAGACATTGCATCTTTTGCCATTGAGGATACTAAGCATGACCTCTTTTTTATGCAGTAGTGTTATATAGAAATGAAAAACAATAAAATTTGTGCCAAGCAACTTGTTAAAAAAATACCGAGAACACACTTGATATTTATATTTGTTTCTACTATTATATCTCCTCACCGGTGATATCTCCAAGCACCGATTCCAATAGTAATCTTTAGCAGCAGCAAATTACCGACATAAATATTTCTTTAAGACACTTGCTCTTAGATTGGTACCTTGGTCGAGAGCTGCCTTAAATAGCTAAGGGTGACAAAAAAATTTCAATAGTTAGATTATACTTATGATCATTTAAATTCTAATTATAGAGCCAGGAATGAAAATTATAAAAAATTGGTACATTTGAACTTGCTACATGTCACAATAAATATGTAAATTTCTATAGTATCAGTTAAAATCAGCTACCCCCCTCTTCTCTCTCCTCTTTTTCAGGAGGTCTTTCTTTTGGGGGGGGGGGGGTGTGTGTGTGGGTTGGTGGGTGGTTGTGGGGGCACTTACTACGATGCACTGTAAACCTCCACTCCGCTGCCTTAATCTATCTCTGTGGCTGCAGTGAAAGGTGGATATGCATTAGCCACTTGTCTGGCCAAGTTGGCTTTAATGTTACATGATGATTACTTATAGTTTTGCTTTTAAGTTGCCTGATAACTAAATGGTATTTCAAACATAGTAAGTTCTAAATTGGGTTGGAAAGGGAATATTTTATAGACGACAACAGGGGAAAAATGCAGTATTCTCTACTCGGTTCTGAGTAATCAACTGCACTAAATATTGTACTTCTTAATTTCTTTGTTGTGCTACCATTTAGGCTGGTCTATTTTACGAGTTTGAGTCTCATATTCCTTACTGTGAATCCTCCTTATCCAGTGGTGAAGGGAAACTGGAGAAGCAATTCCGTATGAACTGCATGGGATGTGGGCTGCTTGTCTGCTACCGTGCTGAAGAAGATCTTGAATTTGCCTCTTTCATATATGTCGTTGATGGTGGCCTTAGTACGGTTGCTGCTGAAACTAATCCTCAGGTAAAGACTTTGCTGTGGGTGTTGATGACACTTTTTTTCTTTTCTTTTTATGGGTACCAATTTCTATTTGGGACCCAGATCCTCAACCTTCCATTTGGAAAGAGTAGTATACACCATTACCATTTAGGTTAAGGCGTTAAGCCCTTGGTGGCGTCTATTTCTGATTTACTATATCCTGTTCCCAAGTCATCATGAATCATACATAGTAATGCTTTCTCAGTCCTTCATTCCTGAACATCTGAATATGTACTCCAGCAACACAATAATCGTTCTGAAATATATTGTAGGATGCTCCTGTCCCACCATGCATATCACAGCTAGAAGGAGGGCTTGTTCAAGTGGCAATAGAAGTTGAAGACCGCGCACAACGCTCAGCAATCACAAGTAAACCAATTGTTCAATCTCTCCTCATTTTATATTTTCTTATATGCTTTCAGTTTTGTAGCACATTCTTGATCAATAAATCAAATAATAAATATATAATTTTTGAACAATTTGGTAATTATACCAAATTGCGTGCATCCTTTAAATGTGCTTTCATTATTATAGTGTATAAAAAGTGAAGGTTTGAATAAAGAAAACCTAGGTTCAAAGTGCGCATATCAGGATTTTGATCATTTGTTATTTCCATCTTTGAAATCTACACTACTTGCTGTAGTAAAATATTTCTTTGAGCACCAAATGAAGATTGGAAATGAAATAAAGGAGTATGAAGATGACTTTGATCATGTGAGTGTACATTTGGGCATCAAGCATCTGGAGTTGGTGATTATAATGACTACAAACTTTTCTACCCTCACTGATTCTTTAAACACGTGACGCTGATACTTTCTCAGTGTAGAAGCAAAAATAAACATGGATCATACACACATACACACACACACATTTGTGATACTAATAATTTGCGTAAACCATGGCTTTCATGCTGCTCGAAGTAAAGCCAAAAGGGAATGCGGCGTTTGCTTCAATTGTTTATCCTTGCAGAACACCTTCCATTAAATCCTCTCTTTTAGATATATATGTTTTTATTTTTATGCTACAACTTGATTAGAATGGTGGATTCTTCAATATAGAACCTCATCTTTGCATTTTGCTTGTACCAGGGGTGAATGCTGATGATGTTAGAGTAACTGTTGCTGCGCCTGCAGCTCGCGGTGAAGCTAACAGTGAACTTCTAGAGTTCATGGGCAAAGTACTAAATTTGAGCCTCAATATTCAATTATCACATCTAAATTGTCCAGCTGAGCCTCCATTCTTTTACTTTTGACACAGGTGCTGGGTCTGAGACTAAGCCAGATGACCCTTCAGAGAGGGTGGAATAACAAATCAAAACTTCTTGTGGTGAGTTTAAATTTAATTTCTAATTTTGTGTCTTTTCGTGCACTAGTCTATTTCATGTGTGTTCTGGTAATTCTTTTTGTGAAATTCAATTGATGATTCTGCGGGACCACTCAGTTCACTGAAATTGCGTGATGAGTTCCTTGATAGGTAAGACCATATTCTGGTAATCCCACTAACATTACCATATTTTACGAGTCATGCTGTTTGAATCCAATATGTCACGGTTTTGTGGCGGTGGATTTCAAATACCAGGGGGCAATGTCAAGCCCCATTTTTATGTCCTATATGCTGCTTGTCCACTATTGTGTAAGATGGCATGTTAGTTCTTCAACATCTTAGGACTAGAATCTAATGACATAGTTTGCTTTTATATTTAATTTAACTAAATTAGTGAACTGGAAATAAGATTACAATGTTCAGAGGTAAAGTGACCTAATTTCACACGAATGATTGCCCACTCATTATAGTCTTTTGTACTGGCAAAAGTTATTCACCCTATTGCCTAAACTTGTCTGGTCTTTTGTCCTCAATAACCATCCATTTGATTTTGATGGAAACATCATTAAACTAGGAAAACTTCTGGTTCTTCCGCTTTCTTATGCTCACGCTGCAAAAGACCATTATGCATCCGGGTTTTTTTTCTTTAAGATACTAAAAATGGGCTGATATCTGATATTTGAACCAGGTGGAAGATTTGTCTGCTAGACAAGTATATGAGAAGCTCCTGGAAGCTGTACAACCTTAACTGACCTTATGGTTACATTTGGTTCCTGGGATTATGACCTTATTTTTCTTAATTGTTTTTCGTATTAACGTTTTCCCATTGCATCTAATTCAAAATTTCAGTGATTTCATTGTACTATTTGAATTACTCGATCCGTGTGGATGGTGCTTAGCGGGTGTGAAATATTTGATCTGTGTTAATGTACTCCTGTCAAATATAGCATTGATTCAAATAAATATTCGACGTACCCAGGAGCAGGAATTTCAGTTATGAACATGATTGCTTTCCGACGTCTGTACTTTTTTTCAGCAAGAGGGAAAAGCTATATATTTTCATATAACAAAATTAAAAAATGTAGAGTCAATCTTGTTACATCCTAATTCATGGAGTAAGTGTTTTTTGGCAGCAGAATTTACCTTTCGATAACAAGTGTATTTCTGTGGTGTTAAAGCTAGGATCTACTTCAGGTCTTCTTCCTGCATAGAGCGTTTGACAGAACCCTCGAATCGGTTAAATGAAGAACCGGAAGATTTCTATTGGTTTCCAAAATTTTGAAAGCAGAAAACAGAATTCAAAGTTTAAACTGTGTTCTTGTTTTTGTTTTCTCAACTGGAAATGATTGTTAAAACTTATAAATTGCATTAGAGATTTGAAATACTTTTCATTTTATAGCTCAATTACGCTAGCAAATTCCTTAGCAAAGGCTTAACCAACCTTTATACTACATAATTCCTTATCAAGGGCTTAACCAACCTTTATACTACATAAATCAATACTAAATACACGAAAATAACTTTGATTGGTGCGGATAATACATGCACAAAATAAATCTTGGTTACATCTTTTAGATGCAACAATAAATTCCTACTTAATTAATTTCTGAAAAAACAATATAGGAAATATCATCCCTTTTTTTTTTTTTAGGTAAATAAGATTTTGGATTTATGGCAAATTACTCTGAAACCCTTTGAGATTTTTCTCAATTGACCAAAGCTAAGAGCCTAAGAGTGGTTGAAAAAGTCACTCGGCTCTAATGCCTCATGCAGTATTAAAGTCTAAGGTTTGACTCCTCTTGAGTGTAAATGATTCATTGGAGGAGGGTGTGTGAGTTGTCAACTAGAAAAAGAAAAAAAAAAAGAAACAATTTTAAAAATTTTAATTTAAGAGAAAACTTAGTGCATAATAGAAAATAGTAAAAAAAAGAGTATTCATGTACCCGACTCCATTCATATGGAAAAAAATGATAATAATAATGCTCTACTTGTACAATATGGACTCTCCAATTGAAAATAAAAGAGATCAAGGATTCTAGTCTCTCTTGGACCCGTTCCTGGCCTTAATCTCTCCATAGAACCGCAATGGTATCATATTGAAGATACTTCTCCTTGACAATGTCCTAGAGCTCTATTGGTGCATTGGCACAATTGCCTATCATAACACATCCTATTGGTTGAGTCTCATTATACCGGAAGAAATTAGGACTGCAAGGTTCCAAACAATCTTCTGATTAACCAGCACGATATAGTCTTGGACCATATAAAAACTTCACATGAATTTCCATCGACATTAACACCATTTTGTCGCTCCTCAATATACCATACATACGCCACTACTTCCTAGCTTCTAAAGATAAAGGGGCTCCCTCTAGCACATTTGCTATATAACTAAACTCTTTTCCAACCGCCTCAAACTCGGGTTTTCAATTATTTCATCATACTCACCCCAAAATTCATTTGGGGGTACCAAATCCGCTCTTTAGGGGCGAGGCCGGGTGGAACCCGCTAGGTTGTGGGAAACTACCATCCCTATGTGCAGTATCATTTCTTTAGCAGAATTGAAAGTATTGCTACAAGTTTGTGTTCTAGACTTCTTAGTCTTAATTTTAAGCCTTTTGGTTTTGTTTAAAAGTTTTACATATGCAATTTTATACGTGTGTGTGTGTGTGTATATGTATGCACACACACACACACATATTATAAGCAAAATGGTCCTTAAATCGATTTCTCAAACCTATTTGTATAATCGAAAAGTTTCTATCCCTTTGATGTAGGGGATGAGTTCCACACTTGGAACTTATTCTTTACATTACACCTCACGTCTAGACAAACAAATCTTGGTAACATTACTCATATTTAAAACAAATATAATTCACCATCGCAGTTATCATATTGTGGGAGAAAGAACTAAGAATGATACATGAAAGAAAAAGGCATGAAGTTGGCACCGTCCCCGGTCAAAGCCTAAAGGAGGTGGAATTTATTGGATTTGTTGGCCGTCTTATTAACTTCGAGCTTGCCAAATACATGATTAAAATGCTATCAAATTGGAGAAGATTATTATTAGTATTATGATTTCAGTAAACAGTGGGTGTTCAAGAAAACCAAGAAGCAATATGCAAAAGAGCATGCTACGTAGCTCCAAAAAAGTTTACCTGCAAGAGTCAAAATGGAAATTATTTAATCCAATTCAACGGCATTTGGCTTCACAATGTTTAGGTTGCCCCACTGATTTTATTATTATTTTTTTTTAGTATTATATACCACTAATTTTTCCTTTTTTATATTATATACCACTAATTTTTCCTTTTTTTTATGTTACTACTCTTAAATTACAAAAATAAAAATAAATCTCACTTTTGGCACCCCCAATTTCCTGGATCTGTCCCTAGATAGATTGGTATCTTATACTTCGTCCGGACTTTAGGTTTGAGGCTGCATTACTAATGGATGAATCAGGATTAAAACTGCATGTTACATAGCTTTATCAATTGAGAATTCCAATCAATCAGTAGATTGTAGATTTGTTCCTTAAGCAAAGAGGAACTGGAAGGGGATGTGAAAGATTATATCTCTTAGGAAGGTACATTCTTTATGTGAAAAAGCCCAAAGGAAAAAATTTCAATCAACGAAATGTTGAAAGTTAGAGGTATAGAATTGCAGTTTTAAAATTTGAATCAGTAGAATTGGAGAAAAGCAGTTATAAATATTTGCACTAAAATTTTCTTTAATTCTAAAAATTTCAATTTTAAAGTTTAAATTTTAATTCTAATGCTTTAATTTCATGCTGCTAAATACAGTCCAAGTGCAATTAATTTTGCAAATTTTAAGGAAATGGACTGAGCTTGTGAATCAATGTAAGCAATGAAATTTAGTTAGATGTTATCAAAAAAATTGATTAGAAGGTCATGGACAATGCCGTGGAGTCCAATCAAAACTCTTCAATTAATAAAAGTGGACCCACATCTCAACTTGAATGAGCTCCTCATTTGGTTTCTTTCTCCATAAGTTTTGGAAACACCTTGAAAGCATCAATATCCGATCCCGATCCTCAGAATAATAAATTACCTTCTTATTGAACTCATTATTCCAAACAAAGGAAATGGATAAAATTGAAATTTAAAATTTATTATGATGGGTAGTGGGGACTGTAGAGTCCGATAAATATTGTATACAAAAGTTCGATTTCGTAAAGGACAATGGGAGTTTGGGAGCTTGCTCTCGACTCGAATCTTTTAAAAGTATTTTAGTTTATTCTAACCTATTATGCTATCTTAGTGCAAGAGTATTTATTTCATTCTGAATTCCCGCAATACTGTTTGCCCAATTTTGAGTGAACCATGCTAAATCTGCGTATTTTTGTGTGTTTGATTTGATTTTATTATTATTTTTTTTGTTTCATTTTGCAACAATTCTAAGGAGAAGCAGCATATATCTAATTGAACACAAAAAAAAAAAAATTAAATAAAAAAATTAAATAAAAAAATAAAATAAAATTGTTCTCGTAAGACTGAGATTTCACTTTGGGAAAAAAAAAAAATTTCAATTTGTTTTCTTCAAATTGTTAGAGAGAAAAAAGAAATCACCTTCAATAGTTTAAAATTAAATTTGAAGCAGAGTTTGTAACCTTTTGGCCCTTTATTTTAGTCTAACAGCGTCGACATCCATTCGTTAGTATTTTATATCCTTTAGGTTATACAAGTAAATACAAAAAGAAAAAGAAATAACAATAATAGTTCTGAATTTTGAACTGATTTTGAACTCGAATAAGGAAAAAAGAAAAAAACAATCTACCCAGAATAGTTTAGGTTACAACAGAAGAAGCAATATACACAATGCAAAACGATAAACTTCCTTATTGCAAATTCACAATCAAGAAACTCACGAAAAATATAAAAATACAACACACCCCCACAAAGATATTACGTAATTCTTGTTAAATCTCGCGTCTACGATAAAAACATCGTTAAAGATTTCACCAAATAAAAAGCAGAGCTAGCAAAACCCAATAGGCTGCATCTCTTCTAGTTTAAAATGGGCAAAATCTACTTATACGGTAAAAAAAAATTGAATAAATTCCACTTACCTTCCCTCAACTTTGTCAATATTACACAGACCTTCTACGTGGTTTTGTAAAACTTGAAGGCATACCCTATTTCCTGGGGTGATTTTGTAAAACTTTGATGCACATTCAGTTTCAATTGTATCAAATTGTTCAGAAGTACACGTATCCAAAAGCCAAAAGGAAACTTATACATTCAACCGACATTTGATCTTTCAACCAAACACACTCCCTCTACACATTCATCCTTGTTATGTACCTGTATGGCAAAATATGATGCAGCATACAAAAATTGTGAGCAATCTGCTAGACCTGTATCATATTTGAAGTACAGGTATCCAAAAGCCAGAAGGAAATTTATACATTCAACCTACATTCGATCTTTCAGCTGAACACACCCTCGACATATTCATCCTTGTTATGCACCTGTATAGCAAAATATGACAGCAGGTATACAAAAATTGTGCATAAAAGCAATCTGCTAGACCTGTATCAAATTGTTCGGAAGTACAAGTATCCAAAAGCCAAAAGGAAATTTATACATTTGATCGTTCAGCCGAACACAACCTCGACATATTCATCCTTGTGATGTACCTGTATAGCAAAATATGACAGCAGTATACAAAAATTGTGCATAAAAGCAATCTGCCAGACCTGTATAATTTAGTGGCAAAATGAATCAAGTTCTTTGCAGAAGCATTCCAAGCCTTCAGTAGTAAACCAGTCTTTTTTCATCTGTAAGGTAGCAGCCGAAATGATAAAAAGAATCCCATGATTCAACATGAATAGGTTAAAATAGTAAATGGCACAAAGGTTATGAAAAAACAAGGAACTCACAAAGTAAGGGTAGCCCTCAGCTATGCTAAAATTTTCGGGAGCACTCTCTATGAAAAGTTTAATATAGTAGAGAACATAATTGCCACATTCTTCACCATTTCTCTGCTGCGGCACCTGAATAATTGTTTAATTTGTACACGTGAACATTCATGAATATAGATCGAGGAATCAACCAATATAACTAGTATATCACCTTGGGAATCAAAAGAGGTATTTTTTTAATCAGTTTTTTGTTCTCTGGCCTATCCTCTGATTCATATATGTCAAACACAAACCTGAAAGGGGAAAAAGAAAAGTAGCATAAACAGAAAGTGGATAAATAAACATAATATGGATGCGAAAGGGAAAAAGTAAAGAGCATGCTGAAATATGATGGAGGTCACAAAAATGTACTTCCTTATCCCAGGTTCAAGCCGCTTTGGATTTGACATTTGCAGTGAATCCAGCAACAGCATGCATGGAGTTCTGGTTTTCGACTGTGTACTTTCACCGAAATGACAGAAGATCAGGAGACTCCAGTGACACCTAGGAAAACACATTTCAGTTCACGAAATAGCGCAAACCAACAAGAATGAAGTCAATGTTGCATGATCATTTAGGAAGAAATGCCAACCACTGAACAATGGGAACAAAGACGTATTTTGTTGAGAAAATATTCTTCCTTTTAATCCAATTCAACACCCTTTCTTTGGCATCACCCTTCATGTACAATATAAACCACAAGCAATCAAGATATGTGAATGAATTACTCTTCTCCTCTGAGAGGCTCCTCCATAATTTCCTAAACAACCACAAAATTAATTTAGACGAAAATGTGACAAAGAACAAGGTCATTATTTTCCCTTATATAAAACTAGAGCTAACCCCAAGTAGCATTCAAACGTATCAGTGTCCATTTTCCCCTGCTGCTGGGTGATTCCACCAACGCTGTTGATTCTCTTTGATCTTTCACGGCAGCGGAAGGAACCAAAAGAACTTGATGGAACTACTTCAGTATCACTACTTTGTTCAGCTTCTCGTCTACTTTTTCTTTTTCTTTTTCGACGAGCACGCCGACGTACCACAGAGTGTGGCTGGCTTGTGTGGTGTTCCATGATGTTATGTCCAGGAAACTCTATCATGGCACAATAAACTCAAGCATCAAACCCCTATCATTTAATGGCTACAAAACATGAATTCCAATGAATTTTCTCAAATAACATGAACTTTATTATGATTCAGTTTCAAGTCACCAATACCGTGCAAATAAACTGCCACGTCTTCCATATAAGGAACACACAGTGGTCAATTGCAGGGAGACCAAATTTACTATAGCTTGTCAAAGTTCCAAATAAAATTAACAACCATGATGAACAAAGAACACCGTGGAAAGTTTGCAAGAAATCCCAATTTCACATAAGATAATCGATGGTTTGATAATAAAATTGTAAATTTTATTATATATCATGCTCAATTGTTTTGTACTGTTCTTTTGCCCCCTTTTCTTCTCAGCTTGTGTGCATATGTCCACACCACAATAATAATTTCACATTGTGAACAGAAAATGGAAAATGATGGAAGAGTATGCCTAGACAACACAATACATAAGACATACTTGAGATTCAGTAATATTATGTTAGGACCTTAGATGTTTAATCAATAAGACTCAAATTTTACCTTCAGTTGCGTGCTGAAGGTTAACATCATTTGGAGCAGCAGTTAAATTCTTGTGATTAACCCTCCTCATTGATCGTTGGCGGCGATGAACGGCACCAGGCAAACATGAAGAAATCATACTTGTATCTTCAGCCTTTTCTTGAATAATTTCTGTCTTTTGCTGTGCATGCGGAAGCACTGCAACATGTAGATCCCATTAGCAATTTTTTCATAATTTGATCTGTAAAAACTTCTGAAACGACACGACAAGATAAATTTCAAGATAAATCACCATTAAACTTGTAAATACTTACCCGTACCCAAGATAAATTTCAATAATCTGATTGAATAGATGCTAAAAATAATAACTGATCAAAACACATCATATGTCAGTTAAATTAACTAAATTAGCAAATCACATTTGTTGTGAGTTAAATTAACTAAATTAGCAAATCACATTTTCAAGACAAGTAAGCTTACGTTTGAAACAAGTCAACCCCATTTAGCACCCAAAGTAAAAGGACCAACATCATTAAGCAATGGCCTTCTAATTTTTCACAATTAAAAAATTTTCAGCTATTCAGTATTAATTCTTAAATTATTCTAAAGGGCAAAGTGAGAAAAACACCTAAATGTTTAAATTTTGGGCAAATATCACCCTAAGGTTTTTTTTGGGTATATACGTGCATTAAGTTTGAAAAAATGATCAAATAAGAAGGGGAAAAACTTAGTCATGTACATTTTTAAGATATAAAATTTCGAAGAAAAAAGAGCGACACTTTAGTCATTTCACATTTAATTATTTTTTATCCTTTTTTTATTGAGTTATAGAGGAACACTTTAGTATTTTCAACATTCAGGCCCTTGTTTGCTCAAAAATTGAATGTTAGGGTTTTTCATAATGTATAGGGGTTTTTGCTCAAAAATTGAATGTTAGGGATTTTTCAGAATGTATAGGGGTTAAACACTCTCTAAATTCCCAAATCAAACTCACACAAACTTCCACTTGACTTAAAATGGAGTTTGATATCTTTAAAATAATAATAATAATAATTCAACGAAAAAGGGTTTTCAAATAACAACATTGGATACAGCATTTATATACATAATATATATAAGTAAAGTAAAAGAGGATGATATAATCAAATTGAGTAAACCAGACTTTATAATCACCAAACATACCAGCATTTGGAACTAGATCCACTGTACCAACAAAGCATTCTGCAAAATTGAGATCAAACCCTAGTTCAGTAAAAAAAAAAAAAAAAAAAAAAAACCAACTCCATATATACCTTAACCATTTGAAGTTGTAAATCGATCAAAGAGCATTAAAACATTAATCAGAAAAAAAAAACCCTAAGACCTGTAAGATTAGAGAGGTTGATGATCGAACCTAATTCTTCATCGACCGTTTTCTTTCTGGCCGTTTTATATGTCTTCATCATCAGTCTCTCTCTCTCTCACACACACACACACACACTCTCTCTCTCTCTCTCTATATATATATATTATATCTCGATTATGGCGACGTTGAGTGCGGCATAACTAAAAAGTTATGTTGTGCTTGGACGGATTTAGTTAATGAGATTAGAGAGACGTTTGAGGATGAGTTATCTCCGTGTTCTGGACTCATTAGCGCTTCCCGAGGCTGTTTCTGAATGTATGGAGTAGGAACTCATTAGACGTCTTGGGAACTTTTTTTTTTTTTTTTTTTTTTTTTGCCTTCTTTTTTTTTTTTTTTTGTAAAATGTATTAGAAGAAGGGGTTCAAAAGGGGAACGCATTCCAAATTATACAAAAAACAGAAACTATGATCTCAAAGAGTCCAAAAAGTCCACAATATCCTCAATGGAGGAAAAATATCTCCCCCAATCCCAACAAAAGAGAGTACAAATAATAAAGAATTTCAACACCCTAATGGATGACTCCTTCCCATCAAAAGATCTTCTATTCCGCTCTTTCCAAATGTTCCACCAAACACAAAGGGGGTTACCCTCCAGAAGACTCTCGCCTGAGCCCCCACCCATTGGCCCCTCCAAATATCCAGCAATTCCCAAGATGTCCGAGGCATAATCCAATAAATACCAAACAAATCAAAAATGAGACTCCAACAATCATGAGCCACAGGACAATGTAGCAACAGGTGATCCACTGTTGGGAACTTGGGAACTTGGAAGAGTGTTTTTTCTTTTTTAAAGGAATAACTATTTTTATTTACAGTTTTTTTTTTCCCCCTTCCAAAATGAATATAATGTTTTATAAATTATATATAGTTGGAAAACAGTAGGATAGGGCTTGAATTTTAGGATACGCACAAGATGCTTTTGGAATAGGGCTAATCATAAATATTTTTTTTTAAAAATTACGGTATAATTAATAGGGGTGAACACGATTCGGTTTGAACCGGCTTAAAAATTTTTTGAAACCAAACCAATTCTAACAAATTCAAAAAAATTGAAACCAAATCGAACCATTTAACTAAATGAACTAAACCAGACCAAATCGTGAAAAATCAGTTTGGTTTGATTTGGTTCCATGATTCTTTTTTTTTTTTTTTTTTTTTTTTTACAAAAATATTCATATTTCAAAACCCACATACACAACTATAAACCAAGTTACCAACACATTGAAAAATTTTAATTCATTTTCTTTTATCACTTATAGGAACTAAAGTGAATAAATTCATAATTGCTAATAACCTAATAGATTTAGAATTACTAATTTAACAACAAACAATCAGCCACAATTCAAAATTCAGCAATTAAAAAAAAAAAATCATATAATAAATTGATAAAACTTAAAAGAATTAAGAGTGGACTATAAGATTGATAATTGTTACAAATTTATAAGTGATTTTGATTGTAGGATTATATTATATTATATATATTGTATAATTTAGAATATATACAAAAATAAACAAAACATTAATAAAAATATATATATATATATAATAAATTAATAAAACCTAAGATAATTAAGGATGGACCATAAAATTGATAAATGTTACAAACTTCTAACTAATTTAGATTGTATGATTATATTATATTATATATATTGTATAATTTAGCATATATATATGTAAATAAATATATATATATAAAGGTTCGGTTCGGTCTAATTCAATCCTAAAGAATCTTAAACCGTGATCAAATCCTATCTTTACAATTTTACTAATAAATAAATATAGATTTTTTTATTGTTTTATATTATCATAACCGTAATCTGTTTTATTTCCTATTCGCGCTTCATGTATTGGGATGAATGCTTAACCCATTAAATTGTATTTAAGTGTCCTAAAGAAGTAAGAGGATCTGTCACTTTGATAAAACTTTTAAAACACGAAAACTAGATTTAATAAATAAATAAAGGTACATTTTACAATACAAAAGACTATCACACATGGTTTGGTACGAATGATAGCATTCTAATGAATGGTCATTTTAAAGATAATGAAAATTCAAAAATCATTCCACGTCTAAATCAATAGAATGGTGATTAAATTCCCAAATTAAAATTAAAATAAATATAAGATTTAAAAAAAACAATCACGTTTTAAGCACAAAAACCACTACCATCACCATTGGCTTCCCCCATAATCAACTACCATCTTCCGTTACCATTATCGTTTTCACAGTCGCCACCATCACTAACACTGCCATTATCACCACTTTTCGCCACCGCCGTCGATTTCCACCGCCACTGCTTTCCCCCTGTCACAACTTCCATCGTTGTGGCCTTCCACCAGCATCACTTAGAATGGTGATTATCATTTCATATTGAGTAGTGATAGTTGCACTGATTTGTTATAGTGAATTATCATCTAACCGAAAGTTCGTGGAAGGGCTCATTCTCTTATTTGCTGTATAGATATACCAATTAATATAAGTTAGTATGACAATTCATTGCAACATATTGGTGCAAGAACCATTTTCATTTCATATTTGCAACCAAACAATACAACGAGCATGACCATTTCATTCCCAACTTCATTCCAATTAATTATTGTATACCAAACTAGGATTGAGAGTAATAAGAAGGCGTTTAGGTCCCTCGTGGTATACAGGTTGAAAGTTCAAATCCCACCAAACATATGTTATGAATAAGAGAGTTAAAAAAAGAAAAATGATATTATTGATGACTTAATACCCGACTTAAAACTGACATAGATAAAATATGACGACTTAAATAAGCATTATTACTACTCTTACTTGTTTTCATAAAATACATTTTTTTTCCCTTTCTTATTTTTCCATTTTTCATAACCCATTTCCTTATCTTTTTGTTTTTTCATTTATGGTTGTATCGTCTCCTTCTTTTCATTTCATTTTCACGTAAAGTTTCATGATACTCAAATATATAAATTTGATTTGTATAATATATGCAACAAAAATTACAATGTATTTTTTACAATTTTTCAATACCTTGCAAATTATTATTTTTAAATTCATCTCATTATTTTTGTTTTCGAGAGTCAGGTACAAATGCCTATCAAAGTAATTGATATATATTAATGATTAAAGACACAATGTTTTATATATAGTGAGGGATACACAATCTGATTATATACAAGAGATGTACGAAGTAGCTCAAAAGTTCTTACAAGATGTAATGTGATGTATATATATAATAGATATACAATTTGATATATATAGATTAAGATGAAATGTTAAAAAACCAAAAAGAAGAAAGTTAACAACCAAAGAAAGGAAAATTGTAAATTAACTCATCGAACCTGAAAGTCAGGGGCGTGGATGTAGTGCAATTTAGTAATTTGACATATTTACTAGTGGCAATATTTGAAAAATATTTTTGATAGTTTCAAAACTCAATACTTTAATTTTATTATTAGTATTGTGTAATTTATCCTTAACGACTTTACGAGAACAATTCTTATATGATTCAAACTTATTTGATTTAAATGGACCATAGTTGCGTGTCGGAATTCCAAATTTAAAGGATTTTGTTAATATCAAATTGATTATAATTTGTCCCTAAATAAGGAATTTCAAATTTAAAGCACAAATAATTAGTAATTATAAAATTAGGAAACTATAAATAAAGACAATAATATTTTTAAAAAAATAAAATTGGTAATTACAAAATTAGAAAACTATAAATAAGGACAATAGTATTTTTTAAAAATAAATTGAGCCATCCTTCCTGATTTGCTTATTTATTACTTTTCTGAGTTTATAATTAAGTATTTTTTATTGGACCATTAGAGGTCAATTATACAATTTTTTTCCTAAAATTTTTATTTTATTTTTGAAATGGGAATATCACGTCAGCACTGAGGACCTGTATTTTCAATGAATCTCAAGGTTACAAGGCTACAACCACTATAAAGACATGGGTACAAGTCCCACCATAACAACCCCACACTCTCATCTCTCAATCGTCTGCGTCCGTGAATTTTAGAATTCTTACATTTTTAATGGGTTTGCTTTTTTATTTTGCCGTGCAAAAATAAATTCATTTTAATATGTTTTCTTTTCATTTTGCCGTGCAAAAATAAATTGATCTCAAAATATGGCTCTTTTCATCTATTTTAAAATTATTAGACAAGTAATGGTGCATTTATTAAAATAAATCATACAATAGTATTTCAAAATAAGAGTGCAAACTTAGTTAAATACATAGTTCAATTCGATAATTTATGAACAAAATTTAAATTAAAAGTTCCAAAGATAAAAACACGTTAGTTTTTCACATGATAAAAAATAACTTATAACACTCTTGTTAAAAGATAAAAACAAATTATTATTATTATTTTTTTTATCAAAACAATGATATATCGAAATTAAATTTTAATAAATCAATTTTCAAGCTAGGTTCATTCTAATTTATTTCAAGTTGATTAATTCCAACTCTACCACTTCTATTAATTTATGATAGGAGCATCACTACTATCACTACTGTTACACATCCTGCAGTTCGTATAATACAACCCAGCGAGCCAACACGCACGAACACATTCAAGCCAACACCAATGGCGGATCTACAATCTCCACCACCGCCACCGCCACCGCCACCACTGCCGCCTCGGTCTACCGCCGACTTCTTCGGGGACCCGATCGACTCCCACCCAATGTGGTTCAAGCAATCCTCCTTCCTCCAACCGACCTTCGACTCCGAATCGTACATCTCGGATCTCCGAACCTTCGTCCCCTTCGACACCCTCCGATCCGAGCTCCAATCCCATTCGTCGTCCTTAAAGCACGAGCTCGTCGAGTTAATTAACCGCGACTACGCCGATTTCGTCAATCTCAGCACCAAGCTTGTTGATGTCGAGGGTGCGATCGTGCGAATGCGGGCGCCACTGACGGAGATCCGCGAGAAGATCTTGGTGTTCCGGGGGGCGGTGGAGGGCTCGCTTTCGGCGCTGCAGAGCGGATTGAGGCAGCGGGCGGAGGCAGCGGCCGCGAGGGAGGCTCTCGAGTTGTTGCTCGATACTTTCCATGTTGTGTCCAAGGTATGTGAATGTGAATATGAATGCATATGGCTTTGAACTGAATTTTGGGTTTGTTTGGTGATTGAGAAGTTGTGAGTAAATAGAGGGAGTTGGATATCTTAGATCTTACAGTTTTTGGAGCTTAGGTTTTTCATAATTGGGATTGGGAAATCGGGAATTTTTAATTAAGACTTAATTTAGTAACAGAAGTACACTAATAATGAACTTGAACTTATTTTGTTCCCGAAATGTACTAGCCCTATTCACTTGATTTAGTTTATGCGTTCAATTTCAAGTTTTGGATAATAAATCCTTACCAAAATATTAGCCATCAACATTTTCCATCCTTTACCCTTGCCGAGAAAATGTAGGGAAAGAAACCATATTAGAATTTGGGATCTCAGAATTTTCATAATTGAGATCTGGCTTACGAATTGTGTACTGAACTTGGCCCAATTACGACACAAGTGAGTTAGTTAACTTGATGCACTCAATTTCATGGCTATTCTTTTCCCTCTTTATTTATTTATTTATTTAGTTATTAATTTTACTATTTTTGTGGTAACATGTTTATTGTTTGGAAGGAACTGAAATCTAGTTCTATCCATTGTTGAGAATGTGTAGGAAAACTGAAGAGTTGAATTTTTGGATCTCAGAGTACGTCTTAAAATATTAGGAAATGGAAATGAGGTAGAATTTTAGATGTTGAATTGGTCACTATTGCAACCCAAAAAACAAGAACCTTAAAAGGAAACCTGGTTCGAGTTTTGTTTAGGAAACCCGTGTAAAATTCAGCTTAAGAGCTTGTTTTTTATTTGCGCTTTGTTTTCGTTGCCAAGAAAACAGGGTAAAAAAGTTAGGCAATGGAACTTCTACTATAATTGTGTTGTATATTATCTGTTTCTTCAACCATTGAGAAACTGACTTTATCTGAGCCAAACATCTGAGATGGTTAAGTTTAGCGGAACTTTTTTTTTATTTATTTATTTATTTTTTTTTTAAATTTTTATATATATATTTATTTTATGTTTTAAGATATGCCTTTAGGATTGCCACGGGTCGACATGCCTTGGTGGCCGATCTCTATCGGCTTGATAGAGGGAGAACATCTTGGGATGTGCATTTTTTTAAAGCATTTTTAGGATTGGGAGATTGAGGATGCTATTGCTTTTTTGGAGTTGCTGTATCGCCAGGTGATTGGGGGAGTTCCTGATTCTTGGGTGTGGGTTCCTTCTTCCCAGGGTTGTTTTGAGTTTCTGTCTTTTTATGGGCGTCTTATGGATGTTCCAGGGGATCCCTCCCAGTGGAAGGCAAGGCCCCCCTCAAGGTGGCTTTCTTTTTTTGTACTTCTGTTTTTGGGAAGATCTGAACTCGGGATCATTTAAAGTGGAGGAGGCATATGGTGGTCAACTGTTGCTGCATGTACAAAAGAGATGGGGAAACGGTTGATCACCTTCTTTTGCATTGCCAAGTGGCTTGAGATTGCTGGGGTTTTGTTGTTGGGCTTGTTTGGGGTTCAGTGGGTTATGCTCAGGTGTTCTAGAATCTTGGAGAGGTTGTATAGCAGTTCCATTATCTAACTTTTTTTTCCTGTTTTCTTGGCAATGAGCAAAAAGAAAAAAAAAATAGAACAAAAAAGCTCTAAACTGAATGTTACACGGGTTTCCTAAACAAAACTCGACTTAGGTTTCCTTTTAAGGCTCTTGTTTTTTGGGTTGCAATAGTGACCAATCCAAGATTCAAAATTCTACCTCATTTCCATTTCCTAATATTTTAAGACATACCCTGAGATCCAAAATTTAAACTCTTCAATTTTCCTTCCCAAGTTCGTGATTTCTGGAGGGTCACTCCTTTGTGCGTCTAGTGGTTATGGCTTGAAAGAAATAGGTGATCCTTTGAAGGAAAGGAGACTTCTATTGGTGCGCTTAAGTTCTCCATCATTAGTACTCTTTCTTGTTGGGTTCTAGGGAGAAATTGTAAATCAATGGAGGAGTTAGTTGATTTTTTGGACTCTTTGAGAGTTTAGAGGCCATATTTGGCCTTGTGTAACTTTTGAGGGATGCATTCCCCTTTTGAACGCCTTTTTTATGCAATCTTACTTGTAAAAAGAAGAAGATATGTCTTAATTATGAATGAAATATCCAATAATAAGAATTAAGAGTTTTTCAAACCTACATATTCTTATTATTACGATCCTTTTACATTTGAATTAGTCATGCTTGTTCGATTTCTAGTTTTGGATAAAACTCCTGAAGAGAATAGTAGCCATCATCCTTTAGTACCCCCCGTCTTCTAGTCCTTTAGCTTGCTGGAAAATGTAGGAAAACCGTATTGGATTTGGGATCCTTGAACTTTTATAATTGGGACCTGATCTGACAAATTAGAAACGTTCACCCAACTTAGTTCATTATGATTAAGTGAGTTGATTGACTTGATTCCTTCAAATTTGTTGCTGAAATATTCTGATTTTCTCTTATTTCATTATTTATCTTAGCATCCAAACAGGGGTTTGTCTTAGTAAAAGGAATTTGTTACTGAAATGTTTCTTCTCTTATTTCATTATTTTTCTTACCATCCAAACGGGGTTTGTCTTATTTTTTAATTGTTTTGAAGGAGCTCCATCTAGGATTCTGAAGAATTTAGGAACTCAGATATATCATAGAATAGAAGGAAATGGAAGGTAGAATTTTTGGATGTGTGTATATAGTAAAATTGTAGAAAATGGAGATGGGCTAGAATTTTTGGATCTTAGATTCTTAATTGCTGCAACACTAAAAGAATTGAAAACTTTTAAGGAAGCAACAGAAAGCATAATGTTAAAATTATGCTTTCTTTTACTTCATCCAGATCTCTTGCCAGGAAATGGAAATGGGCTAGAATTTTTGGATCTTTGATTCTTCATTGCTGCAATTCTAAAAGAATTGAAAACTTTTAAGGAAGCAACAGAAAACATAGTGTTTAAAATTATGTTTTCTTTTACTTCATCCAGATCTCTTGCCAGCAAACTAGCGGGTTACGTTTCTCTTATTTTTCTGGTTGTATATTATCCGATCAGAACCATGAGTCAAGCAGGATTCAATTTGAGAGGTTTCTTGTTTACTTTTTGTGTTTGTGCTCATGTGCTGTGTTTCATTGCTGAGAGAACTCAGGAAAAGAAAAGAAAATGGAACTTTTAACTTAATTTTAATTTTATTGTTTACCAAAAATTGAGAAATTGACGTAACCAAATCAAACATTTGGGATGGCTAAGTTTAGTGCACATTTTGTTTTCTTTTTCTTTTTTCTTTTTTAATTTTGATATTTCTTGTTGGGATGAATTCGTGTTTTCCTTAACCTACGTATTCTATTAACCTGAATTAGGATACTTTTACTTGCAGTTGCAAGCTTTAGAGCTTCATTTCTGATAATATACGTTTCTGTTTATGTACAAGGGACTATGGTCACAGTTTATATGTGTTTTTGTATTTTTATCTTTTCAATTGCAGGTTGAAAAATTGATAAAGGAGTTGCCAAGTGTGCCGACTGATTGGTCCAATGGATATGTAAATTCCACAGAAAAGGGTCATTTAAGCAATGGATTTTCCTTACAACACCCTGAAAATGGAACAAATCTCAGGGAGACTCAAAGCATGCTTTTGGAGAGAATTGCCAGTGAAATGAATCGGCTAAAGTTCTACATTGCTCGTGCACAGGTCCATCTTGATCTCATCCTCTTGGTAAATTTTTTAGAGTTTGTTTGACTGAGGGAATTAGGAAAGAAAAGGAAAGGAGGTAAATTTATCTCACCTTTGATTTGAAAAGGGAGGGAAGGGAAATCAATAAGAGGGAAAATGAGGGAAAGGTTAACCCCTTGAACAGGGTTTTCTTTCCCTCCAACTTGTGAGAGGAAATGAAATAAAATGATAAGGGAGTTGGGGATTGCTCACCTATTTTTTATAAGCTATGAATCCCTTCTTCACCCAACATTTCTTTCCTTTCTTTTCTCTCCTTATTCTTTGCCAAACAAAACAAGAACTAACCTTTATCATTTATTTATTTATTTCCTCTTAATTATCTACACAGGAGGAGGGATTAACATTGTCCTTTCATTTCTTTTCTTTTTTCTGCTAAGTAATGCTTTATTTTCCTTTCAACTTGTCCAAATGCACTCTCTTGGTTGTTGAATTGTTCTCTGATTTATGTGGCAATAACATTATAATGTATCAATTCTGATATGATTTCCTTATGTTCTATTAACCATCTGATGTGCAACCCATAACTAGCTTCTTTATGCTTGATTCATCTCGGAAGTCAACTTTGATTGGAATATGAGAATTAAGACTATTTTAAAAGTGTTTCCTATAGTATTAGTGCAGACTGCAGAGCAGCACTCTGTTGCTGCTACCAGAATTTACAGTGATTTTTGTGAACTGTCTCACTTGGAAAACTAGATGCAAGTCCTATATTTCTTCGAGGAAAAAAATTGACCATGTTAGACTGTCATAAATTGGAAACAATTAGAGATAATGACATTAGTTGTTGGTTTTTTTATTTTGGAAAATTTGTGATGATTATTATTTGGTAGAAGTTTAAACCATATCTTTTTTTTTTTTTGGATAAATTAAAACCATATCTATTGTCAATTGTCTCACTCAAAACCTATGTCACATGGACTCTTCAAAAATAGGTGTAATACCTGTGTCGGACACATAATACTCGGACATGGGTATGGAATATGTGCCCGACACTTTTGGTTAGACGTGTACCTTAAAAACATATCCTGTAATTATATTTGGTTAGATTATTACTTTAAAACGAGTGAAATGCCTACATTGAACGCTATATTACTTAAGAACATTATTTTACTTGAGAAAATAAAATAAAACTATTAAATAATATGAATAATTAGTAGTCTCTATGTGTCCTCTTGTTTGAAGATTTGACACATCCGATGCGTAGATACATACCCGTATCCAATACACGTACCCGAGTCTATGTAACATAGCTCAAAACCCATCTCTAGTTTTGTTGTACTCTATAAATGAGCACTACATTGAGGAATCAAATGTTTTGCTATTTGTAGCGGAAGAGTCTTTAGGAACGCAATCAATGCGGTCAATCATATGTAATTATGTTTTCCTATAAAAATAAAGTATATAAAACACCCCCAAGGTTAACTTTTAGTGCACATAACACCGTTATTTTATTTTGTGTATACAAGTTTATTAATTTTTAAAAAATGTTGCAACCAAGATGCCCCTGTACAATTTTTATTTTATTTCCTTTATTTTTATTAACAACACAAATCTCTCTGGTGGAGGTTCGGTTTGTGGAGAAGCTATATGGTCAAAACTATGGAAATTCTTCTTATCAGAAAATTCCATAAACCTTTTCATCTAATCATCTGTTCTTGCACACTCTCTCTCTAAATCTAGAGTGCGAAAGACAGTTTAGGCGATGACGATGAAAGCAGTGGTAGTGGCAGTGGTGACGACAATAGAAGGAAGAGGCAGAGGAACCGTCCTCTGCTCGCATCGAATTAGTCTTGCAGTCGTCGATACATTCTCTCTCTAAACTGCCCTTTGTTGATGCAACGACCTAACTCTCGCGCAGATCCAAGTATCTTCATCAATCAACTTTGTCGTTGGAGAGAATTGACTTGTTAGTGGTAGCGATGGAGGAAGGTTGAGTTGAATCAGTGGCTCTGGAGATGAAATTGAGCCTCAGATGGTGGAAATTCTGATCACTTAGGGTTTTTTGGACTATTGCGTTATTAAGATTTGGAATGAATCTATCTGTGCTTTGTTAAGGGGATAAATGATGTACGGCATATACATATATCTAGGGGTGGCAATTCGTGTTGGCGTTAGTGTTCGTGTCGACACGATTACGACACGGACACGATTAGGGTTGACACGAACACGACACGATTATTAATCGTGTCTAAGACCCTTGACACGAACACGACACGATTATTATACATGTAACACGACACGACACGCATAACTTGTTTAATAAATAGGTCAAGACTTGACACGACACGAAAAGATACATTTAAGTTATTTTTGACACGAATATAACATATATATTCTACATGTTTTACTAAATGGGTCATTTTTTACACGAACACGACACGTTTATTTGACACGTTTAGTTAATCGGGTTAATCGTATCATAATCGTGTTAATAGGGTCAAACACGAACACGACACGTTTAGTTAGCTGGTCAATCCATGTCGACACGATTATGACACGAACACGATTAGCCCAAACCCAAACCCGCTTATCTCGTGTCATGTTTGTGTCGTGTTAGCGTGTCGTGTCAAATATTGCCACTCCCACATATATCTATGTATGCTTACATCTGATGATCCTTATATATATATATATATATATATATATATATGTACAACAGTATAATCGCTTTAATGGAAATTTTTTAAGGTAAAATAAACATTAGTAAAGGGGTAAACGACATATATATATATATAACACGATTAGCCCAAACCCAAACCCGCTTATCTCGTGTCGTGTTTGTGTCGTGTTAGCGTGTCGTGTCAAATATTGCCACCCCCACATATATCTATGTATGCTTACATCTGATGATCCTTATATATATATATATATATATATATATATGTACAACAGTATAATCGCTTTAATGGAAATTTTTTAAGGTAAAATAAACATTAGTAAAGGGGTAAACGACATATATATATATATATACATATGTGTGTATATATATATATATATATATATATGTACAACAGTATAATCGCTTTAATGGAAATTTTTTAAGGTAAAATAAACATTAGTAAAGGGGTAAACGACATATATATATATATACATATGTATATGTATATATATATATATGTACAACAGTATAATCGCTTTAATGGAAATTTTTTAAGGTAAAATAAACATTAGTAAAGGGGTAAACGACATATATATATATATATACATATGTGTATATATATATATATATATATATGTACAACAGTATAATCGCTTTAATGGAAATTTTTTAAGGTAAAATAAACATTAGTAAAGGGGTAAACGACATATATATATATATACATATGTATATGTATATATACATATGTATATATATATATATGTCGTTTACCCCTTTACTAATGTTTATTTTACCTTAAAAAATTTCCATTAAAGCGATTATACTGTTGTACATAAGTCATAAATTGAAGTCGCAGATAAGGGCCAAAAGAAGAGAATCAATGGCGGCATCATCTCTCTACAACTTCCTTTTTCTCTCTCCTCTTCAAAACCAATACCACCACCAAACTCTTGTCTCCTCTCTCTCTCTCTCTTCCTCATCATAAACAACAACTGCCACTCCTTCATTGTTTCTGACTCTCAAAAACAGAGACGGGTTAGCCCCAGTAATTCCCATCAAACATCAATCATCTTCTGATTTTCCCTTAGTGGTGTAACTGGCGTTTCCTTCACCGGCTTTCACAAATACCGTTTTCTTCAAATTCACGTACAACGTTCAGGTCATAGTTGGCGAGAACAAGCATGAAGAGAAGCTGATCAGTTGGTTCCGTAGGGAGGTCTTGAGGGCTGGTTTCATCCAAGATTGTTCCATCTTGCCCATTTTGGTCATTTTACAATCAATGAGTTTTTTACTCTTTTTTTTTTAATTTTTAAATTCAGTTAAAGAAGGGCAGTTTAGTCTTTTCATCGCTCCATTAATGCCAGGGACGGATGTATGTAGAAGTCAGTGGGGGAAATTGGGCCCACTGAATTTTTTTTTTTTTTAATTTTTATTTATAGTAATATATCCTACTATTTTATTTATTTTGATATATATACCTATAAAGTTACACTACTGCCCCCACCGAAATTACTAAAAAATTACACTATTGCCCCCCCTCACACAATTTCCTTGCTCCGTCCTTGATTAATGCCTGTGTGACGTGAGGCCCTTGTTTGCACCTAAAATGAATGTTATGGTGTTTTGAGAACCTATAGGGAGTTAGATGCCCTACATGCATACTATAGGAGTGTTCTTTGCACGTGACCCTTCCTATAATGTTTGGAAAGTGAAAAATTTACTTCATAAGAGATGGAGATAGTCAGTTCTATGGACAACGGTGTGAATGCTTGCAGTTAATTGGAGTTTGGGACACAATCTATTTTGTTATTTGGCAAAATAGATTTTGTGGCAGTTGAAATTTGGCTGGTTTGGGTTTTAAGAGCCATTGACAAAGTAGTTATAAATTATCTATGGCTCATATTGTTTTCCGTTGTAGTGGTAGCTCAAATCTAACCAAGCCTTTTACACTTGAAGATTATGAGAATCATGTTACCCAACATTCAACATCCAAGATAGTCGGGAGATAAATCTTGGTATTGGGATTTGTGATGGGCAAAATTGCAGTTTAACTTGTTGAGATCGTTTGTCAAGGCGTAATTTTCAATCACTAGCAAACCACTAAAAGGTCATCAATGCATATGTTTTATCATCAAGTTGTCACATTTTAATTTTATTAATTTTACATTGTCAAGTTTATGACAAGGGGTCATTGCTTAGTGTAATGGTAAATGTTCATGTTGATAAGCATGAGAACGCGGGTTTACGTATAAGAGCTGACACTTTTTTGCGAAAATGTCAAAGGCCAGATTTGTCTCCAATCTTTTCCTCTCAACACCCCGTATTTGGACTAGCACTGGTAATGGCTTTTAATTGTTGACACTTAGAAGGGCACTTCAATTATTGTATTGGGCCTTTTTTTTTATTATTCTTTTATTTTAGAGTCAAAACAATAAGAAAGTACCAGTTAAGAACATTTCATTATCTAATAGAACTAGAAACTGGAAATACAAGTCTAAAAGTAGCTTGTATTTTTTCTGTTTTATGTAAGATATCATGAAATATGGGCGATCCAAAATACTTTGAATAGAATAAACATATTAAAATTCAAGATTAGTTGATTGCGCTGAGGCACTGAAGTACTGATTTGTAAATGGAAACAGCAGCAATTTTGCTTACATAACAATAATCAATCAAACTACTTGCTTACATAGGTGCTATAATTTATATTGAACAGTAGTTAAAAAATCTGAAAGAACTTTGTGCAGTGAATAAGCTGGGCTTTTTGTTGCTTGTTAATATTATTATTATTTTTGATAAGTTGATTTTGTTAATGGGTTTAACTTTTTTCCATTAATGACACAGTTTGCTGTCCCAAAAGGCAATATGTTGACGGAATAGCAACTTCTTTATTCTTCAATTTGTCTGTCCTGGCAAAATTTTCATTATTCTGGCGATAATCTAGACCCCTCTCATAAAACATTAGTACCTTCTTGAGTATCTTTTCCATGGGCAAAAAAAGGAAACTGTTTGAATTTTTATTTGCAATACACATGCAAAAGACTTGAACACCAATACCTTTTCCATTAGAATAACTAATTATGTGTGATGTCAGATCTTTAATTCCTGAAGTCTTGAAGTTGCGATTCATATAATATATTTTATATTTTTTGCTTGGATAACTATTTTCTTGTACTCATTGGTGCTCAAGCAAGTATTATTCATGCACAAAGCTGCCATAGACTAATCTTACTGTGAAGAATCAATGGCTATCTGTGTTAATAACTTACACATTTTCTATTCTCTCTTACGGCAGTACAGAACCTGCCATTCATTGAGAATATGGAGAAGAGGATACAGAGTAATAGTCTGTTATTGGATGCAAGCTTGGGGCACTGTTTCGTAGATGGACTGGAACACAGGGATGCAAATGCAATATACAATTGCTTGCGTGCATATGCTGCTATTGATAACACCAGGAATGCAGAAGAAATTTTTCGTTCAACTGTTGTGGCACCAATGGTACAGAAAATTATTCCCCGCAGTTCATCTGGGGTGGTTGGTGGGGCATCAGGAGATGAACTTGAGGAGGACTATAAACAAATTATGCAACATATAGAAAAAAACTGTAAATTTTTATTGGAAATTTCATCTACAGGTATTGCCATCAACCTTTTGTGCTACAATATTCTTAACAACTCAATAAAGCCTTATGGCCCTCTTCCCAGCTATTTGAATCCACTACAAGGATGCTTTAATCATTGCATGCTTTTTGATTATGATATCATATGCACAACCTCAACCAAACATTGTTCTTGTAGTGCCTTTTAGCTGAATAGTTTAACTCTCAGTATACTTACTGGTCTTTGTTGCCAAGCCAAGGTCACCCCTGTAATATTTTTTTAACATAGTATCACTATTCTTCAGTTAAAAGAACACATTGATTTTATTTTCAGTGATTTCTTTCTTTGACAGTTGTCCATTTCAAAATCATTGTTTCAGATATGAACATTTTATTAACATTTCGTTTGGTGAGTTATGACTGCCCTAGATATTTGTGGTTAGTACATAAACCTTGAATTGCTTTATGGCCTTCCTTAAATTGTCCTTTTTAAACCTTTTACTTGAGAGGTTTGACGGAATCACACCAGCCTATAAATCTTTTATCTTCCTTCATATCTTTCTCGTTCTGTTTGTTTACTTTTTGCTTCATCATGTTCTACTTTGTAGGCCAGACCCTCTTAAATCTCCTACTTATTTTGGATGATTAATCCAATACAGAGAAAACGGTTTTGCTGTTTTATATTCCAAAATGAAGTAATAGGAAACTGTTATATATGATTACATGTCAATTACTAGTTTTTCTCAATGTTTGTTATTTACTAGTTTCTTCTATATTCCCAACAGCAAAGAAAGAAAGAAAGAAATTCTTAGATTAACAATTGAAGTTCTTGATCTGCAGAAAATTCAGGTCTGCATGTATTTAGCTTCCTGGCCAATTCAATTCTTAAAGAGGTTCTCTTGGCAATCCAAAAAGGGAAACCAGGAGCGTTTTCACCTGGAAGACCTACAGAATTCCTGAAAAATTACAAATCAAGCCTAGATTTCTTGGATCATTTAGAAGGTAGTATAAAACCTTCTGATGTGCCTGTATTTTGCATATGCAAGTGATTCATTAAGAATAAACTTGTTAAGTATATATATGTTCGTTTTAGTTATAACATTCTGTTGTCATGCAAGGCTACTGTCCGTCTAGATCTGCCGTTGCCAAATTTAGATCTGAGTCTGTCTACATTGAGTTTATGAAGCAGTGGAATATTGGGGTCTATTTCTCATTAAGGTACTCAATGCAGTTTCTCGATGGTTCCTGTTGACAAAATACTGGAATTTTATTGTTTAATGGTGTTGGTTACTTGTTGGCCCCTCCCCAAAAGAAGAGAGAAAGGGGAAGGGGAAGGGGAAAGAGGGGGGGGAAGGCGGGGTGGGGAGGGGAGGGGAGGGGTATGAGTAAAATAGAAGCCAAGGAAAATTAAACACATGAGCAACTGATGTACTTATACTTATTTTGCCTTAGGTTTCAGGAGGTAGCTGGGACCTTAGATTCTGCACTTCTGGTTGCTGGTCTTGTCCCAGTCCAAAACTCACATTCTGACCAAGGAGCTTCTCAAGTTTTAACATTAAAACAAAGTTTCTCTCTTTTGGAGTGCTTGAGATCCTGCTGGAGAGATGATGTTCTTGTCCTCTCTTGCTCTGACAAGTTTCTCCGTTTGTCTTTGCAACTTCTTTCAAGGTCAGTCTGCATTCGGAAATAGGAAGGTTCAATTTTTTTCCTTTTATTTGACTAATTTGCTGACATGTAAAAGTATTTGACTGCATTATGCTTATAGATACTCAAATTGGTTGTCAGCTGGTCTGGCTGCTCGCAAAGCTGGTAACACGGGCTCCAACCCTGGATTTGAATGGGCTATTTCTGCTGTCCCAGACGATCTTGTTTATGTATGTAATATTTCTTGATTTCACTATATTATACTTTCTTCTCTGTTGAAAATTATGTTTATAACCTATTGCCCTTTGCTCTTTTTCCTTGTAGACATTTTGTTGATACCACTTGGTTTTTCTGTCCACAATGCTAGAGTATCTAACTGCATTTTTTCATGCATGTCCTATTAGTATTTCAAGTTGTAGGACATGCTCATGATTTTCCTTCTTTGAAACACATTTGGATGGGAGACTATTTGTTAGATCATTTCTTTGTGTCAGATGAAAACTGTTAAAGTGTACCAACAAAAACTACTTGTTTGATGTCACCACTAAACTAATGGTGTTCTAAATAAATGTATCATGAAAGAATCAAGGTCTTGGAATCTGATGCAGGCATATGAACTTTGATGGGTAACAAGTGCAACGTTTTTTCTTACAGACAAAGTACATAGCAAAGATGACTGCATATTGGTTGTCAATAAATGAATGTGTTCCCCCTATTTTCAGTCTGATGATGTGAACTTCGATTGGAAATGTAAAAGGCGCCTTGATGCATATACACTGTATTTTGCCAATCTTTGTGCTGCAAATTGGAATTTCCGACTTAAGATGTCCAGCTAATAGCTTCTTTTGAGTTTTTAATTTGAGTTCTGACTTTTGAGGATTACAATCACATTAAATGAACTCCAAACTTGAATTATTTATAGGGTGTTCAATATCCCTTGTTTTCTTTCTATAAACAGCCAAATTAAGAAGCAATAATCACATTATACTGTGTCGTGCTCTTCATGAAGTCTTTTACTTGTAGATATTGCTTGTTGGCAGTAAAATGATTGACTGCACTTTGAAACTGCATTGCCACAATCAGAAGATATCATGATCTGCATTAGCAGTTATCTGCCAAGCAGCGGCACCCAGTTGGTATTTAACTGTATATCAGCATGAAGTCAATGGCATTGTTGTTTTGTAGTTCTAATGTTTCCGATTTATGATTGATTTGTTTTATTAGAAGTCATCATTATATGCAGAATAATGGCATGCGTTAGATATGTGTCTAGACTTTCTCATCCAGCACTTTGCATAGGCAGGACAAGCATTGAGTAATGGCTTCTTATTATATCATAAGCTGTTACTCGATTTAATGGTAAAAATTTGGCTTTTAAGCATAAAGGACTAGTTTGTGTTTGTACATAGTCATTTTGTGTTAAAATACAAAGTTAGATTTGTATCCTACGCAGCCTTCTTATCACCTTGTATTGATAGGACTAACACTGGTAACGGGTTTAATAACACAATATTTTTTTTACTTAAAGTAAATTGTTTTCTTAAAGAGGTTGAATAATTACTATGAACTCTTGATTTCAAATCATAATTCCGAAAGTGGGCACAATACTTCTTGAATGACAACATACGCTTCATGCCTTGCTTTTCTCACTTTCAATCTCTTTCTTTAAAATTTCTAAATCCAGATCTTAAACTGTTTTCTGAATTAACTTTTTCTGTATTATGGTTTGATTCTAGCTGTAATTTTACCACACTTAGGCCAATTCGAGCTTTGTGCTTTGATATGGAAACATCTTTCATACATATAACTTGTCGAGTTGTTGGCCATTTCGAGCTTTGTGCTTTGATATGGAAACATCTTTCATACATATAACTTGTTGAGTTGTTGTAGGTCACATCTTCTTGATGTCATATTCAGCTGATAATTATGCTCAATTCATTTGGTAAATGGAGGTTTTTTTGTTGCAGATAATTAATGATCTGAATGGTCTAGCAGTGGAGATTTGTGGCGACTACCTTGGACATGTACTTGAGCTTCTAAATTCATGTTCCACCGAAGTACTTGATCTTGTAAAGCAGAGTATTTTACAGGGTGGAAATCTGCTGAAGGATCTTGTGCCTCTAGTAATGAATGCAATAATAGAAACACTAGTTGAGAAATCTGTGGAGGTAACCTACATATATTATCACAAGCTTCTTTTCAGCTAACTATGCAATGCAATGATAAATGGATTTGTTGTTTTGGGTGGGTGGGGTGGGGGTTGATTGTATCCCTATCTTGAATGTGGAGATGGTTAACCACCTTAAATTTTCATTGAACTTCAGTATTTTTAATGACTTTTTCTGCATCTTCATTTGTCACTAATACATCTTTTTCAAAATTATTATAGGACTTGAGACAACTGAAGGGGATAACTGCAACATACAGGATGACTAATAAGCCTCTTCCTGTTAGGCATTCACCATATGTGGCAGGGGTATTGCGTCCCTTGAAGGTATGTATGCAGTCTCATTCTGTTTTGTAGAATTTATGTTACTCTTTCCTCTTCTCTTGAGCATAATGTTTCCATTACCGTGTTTAGTTGCTAGATTTGCAATTGAGCAACAACGTTAGGGGGGTTTGAATGTCCTCTATTTTGAAACGTATTTAGATGAGTCCTCTTATTTTTTTATTTTTATTATTATTTTTCTTTCTTGTAGCATTTAGATCAGTTTATCGTGTTACTTGCACAGAAACGTATTATCAAGGAGAATGAAATGATGTTAATTTATCTTCACCATTTTCCTGTGACGATGGCTCCGTTTTTAGTGATGTACCATATGCACTCTATAGGCTAGTTTTGTTCCTTCAAATGCATTTGGAGACGGACAATTTGTTCAATTTCTACTGGATATCCTAAATCTGAATGCGACCTTATTTGATTGGTTAAATTTATTTATTTATTTTATCTGTGTAACGATCTTTTCAGCAGCAGAACTTTTATTTTATTTTTAGATCAGCTGTAAGTATTGATCAGCATTTTTGATGTGATAGTTTGAATGATGTAAAACATGTAACCATATATATATGTCACAGGTTGTCTGCAATGTTTGATTGTAAAGTGATCATTGGTTATGGAAGCATAACACCAATAATTTCGATATAATGATTGTGGTGTCACATAATAAATCATGGCTCTTAGAAATCATGACGTGGAATGTAGGAGCCATAATGTGAAATCTTATGTATGCAATAGATCATATATGAAACAATATGCTTCACATGGGCGGGTGTGTGGGGGTGGGTGCAAGGCACTGGCAGGCTACCATCGCCTAGGTGTGGAAAGGGAAGCCCTATATATGTAGATTGGTACTCTCCATGTACAACGCGTTTTGGGCTAAGGCTTAGGAACAAAACCGTGCAGGCTTTGGCCCAAAGCGGACAATATTGTTTCATCTGGACCCAAAAAGAAAAGTGCAATGTATGATATTTTAGTTGTATCGTATGAGGTATTTTACTATAGATTTAATATGTATATGGTATATAAGTTGCATATAGTAGGCGAACAGGTGATTTCTTCAGACAGCTTCTGAAGAAAATTATTATTGTAATTGTTAGGGCAACCCGCACTTAGGGCCTTCATGAATATCTCAGGATCGGCTCGTGAAAAACTCGGCTCGGGCTCGGTCATTAAGTAAACGAGCCGATGTTGAACAGGCTCGTTTTGTTATATATATTTGGTTTGATTGTTTTAATTTAATTCTGCCCATTATACATTTTAGGAATCTCAGGACCAAACTTGAAGGCCCAATAAATAGACATTTTCTTTAAAACATATAAGCCCCATTACTGAGCCAACAATAAGAAATTGAAAGACCCTTATACTAGTGTTATGTTCTGTATATGTCCATTGAATCTGAAACCCCAGGACTCTCCTATCTCGTTCAGTCACATCTGCACCTCACTGAGACACCCTCCCATCCATCCCATGTCATCTCTCTTCACTCTTTTGCAGCCTTCTCATCATAAAATCCCCTCACCTTAAAATCTCATTATTCACCAATCTATCTCCTCTCTCTAAGATGCCCTCATAGTGAGGTTGAAGCTTTAATGGAGATGGAGATGGAGATGGAGATGGTGACGATGCTATTAATCTGTATCAGAAAAATATCTTCTATAATGGGAAAGGTATGTAGATCTATACACATTTGGGGTGTGTGTGTGTAGATCTATATACATTTGGGGGGTATTATCATGTCGATAGGAAAATTGGGGCTCTGTGTATGCATCTTTGGGTGCAAATGTATATTGACATACAAACTCGCCTGAACATGGCTGAGCCTTGCTCGAGCTCCTCTAGACCAAGTTTGGCCGAACACGAGCCGAGCTTGAACACCCCTGTTACCTTGGCGAGCCGAGGCCGAACAACCTAAAGCTCGGCTCAGCTTGGCTTGGTTCATTTGCAGCCCTAGTTGCACTCCTTGAAAATTTGCTTATATCTACTTGCTTTTTCTTAAAGATTTAATAAAGCCTGTGGAGTAACAAGTGGAACATGAGATTGTTTTTTAGGGATAATTGCATCATTTTTTCATGAGAAATAAACAGAAGCGTGAATGTCATTTCCATTGTTATTACTATTACTTTTAGTATTCTGACTGCTGATACCCCAAGTCTTTTCACCTATTCATTCTAGGTCTCACTGTTTCTTTACCAATCCGTATCTTTCTCAATAGCGTGATCAATGTCCGAAATTTGGACACGTAGCTTCCATTGCCATTTAAATGCTGATTGGCTTTAGCGCAAGTAGTTTGCCAAACTAAACAGGACTGGTTTTTAGCACAGCAAACTAGCCCAGTGCACGAGGAGCCCGCCATGTAGGGTCTGGGGAGGATTAGATGTATGCAGCCTTACCTCTGCATTCAGAGAAGCTTTTTCTTTGTTTCGAATCCATGACATCCAGTTCATAGTGGAGCAACCTTTCCGTTTTTCCAAGGCCCGTCCGCCCTCTTCGTATTCAGTCTTCCTGTTCCAAAATACTGTAGGTGTGGGATGCAATCCGTCAACCTTGTGGATGTGGGGATTTTGAGTATGAAGTGTTGACAGAACTGTTTGGTTCTACAAAGATAATCATTTCCTACACAACTTTTTTACCCTTTTTTGTAGGTATATCTTACATAATAGTTTCTGTCATAGTTTCCAAAAAAAGTTCTGAACCTTTTAGGACAGAATGATAAGATGAGGGTTGAGTTCTTTTGTAGCTTTTTAGTTTTTGCATATGCATTGTTATGGATATTTCTGTGGATGTTTTTACCCATAGGTTGATGTTTTAATGTTTATGAATGGAGAAAAGCACCATTCCTTTTTGGGATTTGTTTTGGTATGGCATTTTGAGTGGTAGGTCAGCCTGAATTGTTGTTATAGAGAGATCTAAATTTCTAATGTATATTCGCTTTATCTTGTATCTTATTGTAGTTTCCATACAGTTATGATTGGGCACATGCAGGTTTAATTGGTTTTTTTTTTGTTGTAGTCAAAGAAATTCTGAAATTTAGCTCGTAGATCTCTACTTTTGGAAAATTTACTTTTTATTTATTTATTATTTTTTTCCTTTGTTTTTTTCTTGTTTTATATTTTTGGAGTTGCTTTCGTGAACTATGTCGTGTGTTTAAACCCATTATAGTCCTAGCAGAGAATCATGTAGCTTACAAAGTGTTGTGTCTAGTTTAGTTGTATTCTGTATGATGGTTGAAAAACATACTAGTGCCTTGGTTTATTTTAATGATTGGACTGGCATATTTAGGTTGTAAACTACAACAAAATATGTCCAATTAAGTTTGTATGTTTGTGTTTTCGTCCGAGGATTTGAATGTGCTTCTTCCATCTCCGTACAAAGGAATCCTTGATTCTCTTTGTATATTTTTTTAGCTACCAATATTTGTACTTGTTTGCTACTACTAAATGAACCTGTGGTTCTGGATACCTTAAAGATTGCTTGGTACCTTGAACTTGCATGACTCTTTACTTTTGAGATATCGAACCTTTGTGTTGAACCACCCCTGTTCCCAGGCTTTTTTGGATGGCGAGCGAGCTGCCACGTATTTGACAAGGGAAATCAGGAATGAACTCTTACGAGGTGCTGCCTTTGAGATTACTGGTCGTTATCATGAATTGGCCGCCGACCTCGTTAGTGCGGTTAGTATGCAAATTACGACATTTACCGTTCTGGAGTTTTAATTTTCTTTTCAGAGTTCCTATTGCATTGGATAATCTTGATTTAAGCCTTTAATTCCCCCTTGACCAGGCTAGGAAAACAGAGTCTGCGCTGCAGAAACTACGTCAGGGTGCACAAAAACGAGGTGGAGCAAGCTCAGATGTCTCAGACCATAACGTGTCCAATACTGATAAGATATGTATGCAATTATTTCTGGATATTCAGGTGAGCAGTATAGTTATATGAGTCTTACATCTTTCTTTGTGCACCCGAGCACGCATGTGCGAAGAAAGTTTCTGAGTCACTGGTAGGCAAATGAAAGACTTTTTAACCGTTATGATTTTATTTTCCTCTGTTCTTCAATTTACCAGGAGTATGGACGCAACCTATTTTCCCTCGGGGTTGACGCAGCAGAAATCCCAGCATACTGTTCCTTGTGGCAGTGCGTCGCTCCTTCAGACAGGCAAAATACAATAAAATTCTAGTTTGGCTGCCATTTATTTTGCAGGACCTAAAAGAGATGCATTTGGTTGCATCTTTCGCTGAGTACCAGAGCATTTGGCTGGCTGCTGTTTATCTTACGACACGGTAAAAAGTTTTTGGCGGCGAATAGCACATAGTTATACCATTTCCTTTGCCTGCAAAATTATTTGATTCTAGGTGGGTTGTTAGTTGCGTTTTCACATATATATATGCATTCATTCCAATTATTGTTTATTTACGTATTGAAAATCACAGTTTTTGTACTTTATAAATTGGTAGTGCTATGTGATGATAAAGAAATAATAAAAGACTCTTCAAACACCAAGTCTGTTCAGTGGCTTCCTGGAGGTTTAAAATCAAACAAAATGCTTTGTTTTGATTTGTGGAAGGGGCGCTTACTTGCCTTATCAAGAAATGGCATTAAAATGAGTGAATAACATACCAAAGCAAAATGATTACTTTCATATTTTGGGTCTTTTTGTACAAATCTTCTGAAAGGAAGGCATTCAAGTATATGTATATTCAAACCATTTCAATGGAAAATGACGTCCTTTACATAGAGGGTTATAAAACAAACTTAATTTCCCGTATGTAAGCGTTAAGGTAAAAGTGGATTTTTTTTTTTTTTTTTTTTCAATTTTTTCTTCCAAATTTTTTTTTAAAAAAAGAATAAATTCGTTGGTTGACAAATTTTTAAATGTTATTCATGAAAATCGAGTTAAAAAAGGTGTTCTTATTTATGTTGTTTAAAAAACTCTAAAATGGTTACTTTCCTTATTTTCTTTAGAATGTGAATTTAAACTCCTTAATATTAGGGTTGACAATTTATACCCAAACCCGGCACTAAAATTAAATCATTTGGGTAATCAATTTAATGGGAGGGTAAGCAATTTAAAAGAATGAGTAAAAAATGGGTATCCATTATATTCATGGATAAATAATGGGTGAATGGTTGATATCCATCTCAACCTACTCAAACAAAATTTTCTCTCCCCAATTTTTATTTTATTTTATTTATTTATTTATTTATTTATTTTTTTCTCCTCCGTCCCTCTCTTTCCTTTCCATCTCCATGTTTTTCTCTCCTCTCCCCCACCCCCCCACCCCTTTTTTTTTAAGAAAGTTTTTAACTCTTTTGTTTGCCCTCTCAAAAATTTTAGAGAGAAATTAATTTCATCTTTTTTTTTTTTTGAAAAGTAATTTCATTGGCGGACATAGTTACTGTTAAATTGATCTCTCACAAATTTGGCATTGCTTCAACTTTACGAGAAATTTTTTTTTTTTGGCATAGCTTTTATTATTATGAAATTTTGTCCCTTTCTAAAATATAGAATTATTGCAAATATTGCTTACTGGTTAAAATTCCTTTTTCTATATATATATATATATTATAAATAATACTAGCAGAGTAATAAATTGTATCTAACTTTTAAAAAAAAAAAAAAAAAAATGTAACACCAGAGACCAGAAAATTAATATAAAACTGTTACAATAACAATTTTTTTAATTTTTTGGTATTCAAGAATTAAAAATATTTGACAATTTGTTTCTAAAAACATTTGGATAATTGGGTTGGGTGTGGGTTCAGCTCAACCCATTTAACACTCAACCCATTTTTAACCCACTATAATGGGTTAGTGACCCATTGCTGTCTCGCCCATTCATGACCAGCCCAAAACCCATCCAAACCCACCCAATTGACACCCTACTTAATATGTCTACATATAAATTAACTTAATATGTCTACATATAAATTAAATCTAACCGTTATAAACCTCCCTAAATGATTGTAAATATTAGTAACATAAACTTATTAGAGACAATGAAAGGGAAAATTATTCGTTATTCTCAAAGAACTCTGGAACAAATTATAGTCTTTGACCAAACCGGATTTGAAATATAGTAGTTTTTAATGAAATAAATACTGTACAAATTGAATATAGTTAAGCTTGGAGCACCAAATTGGCACTTTGAAAATGAAAATGGGATTGGAAGAAGTTTAATTCAAATACAAATTGACTATAATTATGCTTCGAACACTAAATTGCCGCTTTGAAAATAATAGAACGGAGGAAGTTTATTTCAAATTTTGTACTAATTTTTTTCCAATTCCAAACTATGGTTTATATTGCATTGTGATTGCTTTCTGATGATCAGAGTCAATCTCCCCCACGTTTTGTGGCAAGATCAAAATTTGATGTTAAAATTCCTCGGTAATCCTGGAATGACACGCAGCTTGTCATTGAATCCTCCCATTTCAACTATTACATGCTCGTCATATATATATATATATATAAGAAAGGAAAAGAAATGAGAGAGAAACAAAAATAAAAGAGAAAAGAATACCATCCTCAATAACCATTACATATAAAAAAAACCTCACTCAATGATCAATTAATTTACCGCAAGGCCTTGAGCTACAAAGCTAATCCAATTCCAGTTTGTCGCTCCCTATGCTATTAAAACAGACTTCCCACATCAGGATATAGAATTTATAGTCTAAATGAATTCAAGGCAATAATCCTGATTCCTCCAATCTTTTCTGAAGAACTGTTGACAAAATCTCTTTTCTGCAAGGCAAGCTGTTTTGCTACAATTCCAATCATTTTGTCGCTGTTGCCTCCAAATCAGATAAAATCTTATTCATGTCTTCAAAGTGAGGCCAACTTTCCATGCTATTATCATCACTCTTGCTTTCCTGTTCAAGACAGCATGGCTGTTAAACAAGCAGCATTATCATTATCAAAAGAAGGTAGGAAAGTTATGCATTCCTCTTCTATACCAAGGCATCGCGAGACCCTGCCAGTGGTGAGGTTCTAAGTCGAGGCACCCAGATCCCAACCACACAATGTGTATGTATACACCCGAGAGCCTGAGCATGTCCGTGCTCGTGCGCACACACGTACACATACCCGACCCATTACCCACAACATGCCTCTAATGGACCTTGGACACTTAACCTCCCCTACTATCCGGGCTCAGTTAGATCACATGGTTGCTACCTGAAAGATAAATGTGCAACCCTGTGCTTCTACACTAAACACACATTCTATTTAAAGGGGTTACAACCATTCTGTTTATTTTAAGCTAGAAAAAAGTTGAGAATTAGAAATGGAGATGCTTATTGGCTCAGTAAACAATTAAATTATATTTCAAATTTAAACTTAAAAACCTTCCTCCTATAATGCATGCTGATGGAACCAGAATTATTGAAAAACCGAGTTCCCAATTGCACCCAAAATTATCATTTAGAACAAACCTCGTATTTCTGAATCAGGGACGCCCATAGAGATTTGCACTGCCCAGGACTTCGATTAATCCCATCTGTCAATAGCTTTGCTGAAATCTCTTCCCAGAGAGCCATTCGCCCTTTCACAACTTGAAATCTGCTATGGAGTTTCCCACGCATTTTAATCAGCTTCTTGACCTCCTCAGGTTTCCATTTGTTCCGTTTCACAGGCTTGGAAGATTTTGATAGAGATTTTTGGATTTCTGTGGAGTCATCTTCGCTGCTTTCTTTCTTAAGCTCCTCTTTATGTTTCTCCCATGGAAGAGAACCATTGTCATCTTTTACTACTTTATCAACTGGTGATGGCACTATGTATAATTTCCAGAAATCATCCGACTCTTCCGAATTGAGAGAAGCTCCTTCTGATAAGTCGGAACTTGAAGTAGTGGCATTCTGAGACTGAAGTCTTTCAACTTCAATGTCATGACCTGTATGAAGGGCATGTCAACAAATTAGAGGAATAATGTGACACAAAACTACAAGAAATTTTAGTTGGGGTACATGTAAACATTGGTTCGTGTTACAAATGCAGATATCAAGTGCTAACATGACTGCCCATGCAACTATTGATATATTGCTTTGTAATCAATCACAAAAAATCTGCCCAGTAAAGTATTCCGCAACAGCAGGGATAAAAACACTGTTTTTTCCCCCAAGGATGATAAAAACAGATCTTGCCTCGGTAAAATACAACAACTGATTTTTAAGCAAATGAACATGAAAAAAAATCTTTTCTTTTTCCTTTTTGATTGTTGCAAGAATGCTAGAGCATTTGTGCTTTTAGCATAAATCGGTCCATAGGCGATAATTTTACCTCACCCCTATTTTATGCATCCAATGGAACTTGATTCCACAACATATCCTTAAAAAGGAGGCTGTCACACTACTTGGCTTTAAGAGCAAAAGTATAACTTAACATCCAATTGGATGAGGGATGAAAATTAGAAGGAATGAGAGGTAGGGATGATGAAAAAGGTATATCCTTTCCTTCTCCTCCGGAGATTTGGTCGATGTGAAGGAAAAGATGAAAAAAGGGAGATTTCATGATTTAACTATTGTACCTTTTTTTTTTATAAGTATGATTTAACTATTATACCTCAAATAAGGCTGTTGTTTAAAGGGAAGAAACGTAAAAAAAAGTGGTGACCCTTTCCCCCTCCTTTAGACCCACTTTTGAGAGGAAGGTATTTGGGGGCACTAGAGAGACTCCTCTATTACTTACCCTTATGCTTGCTATCTTACCAAGCCATAGATGGTTCATCGATCCCCTCCTTTTCCTTTCTTCTCACTCTAAAGGACCATTAAAGTAATGTTTAATTCTTACATAATTATATGGGATAAATATTTGGATCTCCACTAATGTATATTTCATAATATTTTCAATTTTTTCTTTTATTTTAACATATACTCCCAGTGTCATGCATAGCCCAATCTTGCATCCAGCCAAACCACACAACCCTTGAACCATCATCCTCGTAAGTTCTTTTCAGTCAATGACACTGGTTTGAAAAACATGCAGTAAAATCAAGGTGAAAAAAATGGGACGTATACCACAAGAAAAGCCAACGAGGCAACCCAAAAATACCAGAGATACCCTAAAAGTTAAAACAATAAAGAATCCAATGGTTCAGATGTGTGATACAAGTGATTGCATCGCCTGGTGAAGGAGCTTGCATGCCCCACCAAAGGGAAGTGATTTAATACAAATGATGCAATGCATGTTAACACTTATTTTCCAGCTCCTATTTCTTCTCTTGGGTCATACTGTATCATCAGTGGATAAAGCTACATCCCTGGCGGGTGGCAACAGATTCGCTTATACATAGATAAATACGTATATATAAACAATATTATATAAATAAAAATGATATATAAGTAGGGTTGGCTTAATTATCACAATTCATATATAAATGCACCACCTTAAGAACTTTGGATATGTGCTTTGCTATTGTCTATATATATGTAACTACATGCTACGCATACACACACGTGTGTGTGAGAATATGTACATACACGCTAACACTAGATATAAACAATAAAGAACGTAAATTAACATAATTCACCAAGAAAAAGTTATAACCTTCCAGTTCATGTTGCGTGTTGTTTAATGATTGTGTGTGGCTGCTACCTTCTTCCACTTGTTTCCTGCTAAGCCTGCTCTTTTTTGGTTGTCCATCCACCACTTTTTTCAATGTTGATATGTCAAAACCAACATTAAGCTTGCCAGATAGCCTTGCATTGAGCTCATTAGAGAGAACTCCTGCCGGATTTTCTGTGGCAATCGCAATGACATCAGGCCTTTTACTACTGTATTTTCTCACCATTTTTCTTAAAACCTCAGAAACAGTTCTTTCCATGTGGGCTAAAGGACAATTAACAGGACAGCTTGAGAGTGAAGCTTGGGCAGCTCTGTGGAGAGCGTCCAAAAGCTTCCCTTTGTCAAGCCATAAGCAGCGTGTAGTGATTCTTATTTTCCCTTTTATTGTTTTCTCAAAGCCATCATCATCTTGAGGGCGTAAAATTTCCATACTGCAAAATAGAGATGCAAGGCTGCTGTTATAAAAATGAAAAATGTAAGAAAATGTGTTTTATCACATTTCTTAAACATTTACCTGACCACTATAATACCATCTGACGCAATTCTTAGTCTCTCATCAATGCAAAGTTCAGTAGATGTTCCATATGCTTTATCACCATCACTATACATCAACTGCACTTTAAAATAATATTTATTCAATTTTTCTTGCCAGAATAACATCTTATATTAGAGGAGAATATGAAAAGATATAAAGCATTTAAGGATCACCAACCTGCAAATTCTCCTTCCCTAGGGATATGAAACCATTAGACAGAACTCTTCTGTTCCTCAAATGTGAAACCCCAAGCATCTCTCCATTCTTTATAACCTGATATGAGTATGTAAAAAACATTATATTTTTATGATATGGATGGTTAACATATTATATGTAACGGTCATTAAGCCGCCTATCTTATACAAAGAATAATACTGGCCACTTTTAAAAAACAAGAACAATATAGGTGAAATTTGAAGACACATGATTAAGAATCAACAAGCGAGAGACAGATTAGGAGTAACAACTATTAGCGAATAAAATAAGAGAAAATAGACTTAGGTGGTATGGGCATATACAATGTAGAACACTGGCTGCACTAACAATAGACAGAGAAAGGCAGACTGAAATTGGTATGAGATGAATTAATAAGAATAGACCATAAGAAACTAAACATAATTAGACACGATTCGTAATAGAAAAGAATGTAAAAAGATAATTCATATGACCGAACACATTTGATCAGAATTAAAACAAGGGTGATGATAGTGATGATAATATAATTTGGAGAATTACCAATAACTGGATAAAGGAGATAAGAGTTACACTCAATACCAAGCAATTTTAACTAGTCCAGACAAGAAAGCAACAAGCAAGAACAAAAAACTCCCTGGAACTTCAAAAGATACTGGTCGTATAATAATTTGCAGCTAGTTTAGAAAAGTAAATTAAATGCAATATGCTCTTAAAAGAGAACTTCATAAGAATCACATAGGGAAATTTGAATATTATAATTGGCAATATAACTCATACAGACAATGATCCCATCACCTTTCAACCACACAGCACGTAAGAACTCAATTGGCACCAAGCCAATCATGTCATCTTGAAATGATTAACAAATAAATCACAGCAAATTAAATGCAATATGCACTTAAAAGAGAACTTCATAAGAATCACAAAGGGAAAATTTGAATATTATAATTGGCAATATAACTTATACAGACAATGATCCCTTTACCTTTCAACCACACAGCACGTAAGAACTCAATTGGCACCAAGCTAATCATGTCATCTTGAAATTATTAACAAATAAATCATAACAAAAACCACTAACTTACAGTAGTGTGCCGAATGCCAGTTGATTTTCCGAGCAATTCATGCTCTTTCAGGAACAATAGTTCTCCATGGACAGGTAAAAAATGTTGTGGCTTCACAATCCTCAGTATTTCTTCCTTCAAAAAAAAAAAAAATGTACAAAAAAAAAATGTTTACATTATTTCTTGAACAGTTTTACCAATAGAAAAATATACATTTTCGCATGCTTTCTTTTCTAAACCGGGAACCATTTCTCATGGTATTCATTATATTTCAGTTCTCAGTGGAAAAAATACATGAGAGAGAGAGAGAGAGAGAGAGTTATTAACTCCCTTTCTTTCACGTGTCACAACAAAAACCAGCTTCCCTATATAATCTTAATGAATTATATGATGAAGGAACAAAATCTGAATCGATTTTCTTATTATATCTAAAACGTTTGTGAGGGTAAGCATGAAATACCCCGTAAGAGAAGGAAATAAGAGGATCCTGAATAGTAAATGAAAAATATCTTACCAACTCCTCACGATGTGCATGACCAGATGTGTGCAGCTGCTCATACTTGCCCATTACTATTGTTGATCCAATCTCTGATATACGGTTTAGCATTTTCATTACTCGAGTCTCATTACCAGGGATCACCTAAGAGCAAGCAACCAAAACAGATGGAACACTTAATATCAAGTTTCTGTAAAAATATAAAATATCCCCCAAGATCTGGCTTCAAAAGTTTAGAAAAATATGCAAAATAGTCGAGAAGGCGTCCGAGAACTTTTTTTGAAGTAATCGTCACCAAAGTTAGAGAAATAAATTAGAACTATAAACTAAAGCCAAATGGTTTCATGATATTAATTGATATAGTTGGAATAAGATCAAGGCTGAAATGGAGGTACGATGCATTTTAAATTCTGACAACACAATCATGTTAAAGTGATGCTGCATTATGTAACATAAGCAGGTAACTAAAGATCTCCTGGCTTTCTTTATCAAGATGCCATGACATTTAGATTCACATCACTCACTCAAGATTAGATCAAATATCCCAATGACAGGGAGTACAACATACAAATCACCTTCAGCTCTCTATTTTCCCATATTTCTAATAATAATAAGAAAACCTAATTAGGAAAAGGTATGCACAAAGAATCAGAAAAGAAACTTCTTTTAGAGCCATTACTCAAGCACCGAGTACAATTAAAGAAAAAAAAAAATTAAAAATAATAAAATAAAAATAAGGTCAAATAAACATGTGAAGATTTAAGTAACATTTTATTTTCAGGTTTTCAAAATAGATCTGCTTAAATTAGAATCTTACAAGAGAGAATTTTTGGAAACAAGTTGGTTAAAAATCAAAAGATGAATCAGACCTACCACTTCTAAGTTTCAGTACCTTAGCAGAATACAAGATTATATCTTCCTTGCTCAATTTGAGTGAATGACTGCTTCCATATGATGCAAGATTCAGTGCAGCACGTGGTTCTGCCTGACACAATAACTCATAGTCACATGCAAGCTACAACAGTTGCAATATAACTAGCAGTTCACATATAATAATGCTGCCATTACTAAGAAGCATCCACATTGACTTACTTGAGATCCAGTTGTGACTATTAGCAAGTCCTTTGGCGCATAAGCATCAATATCTTCCACCTTCACCTATACAATATATTCAATATCAGTTAGAAAGAGGGAAAAAGAAAAATATAAGGAGAGTCCAACTTGTTTTTTGGGGAATAGGGCTGGGTATGTGGTTGCCAGTTGGGAGTTATGAAAGACAAGTCATACTTCCATTACATTATAATTCAATTAGATGATAGACATAGCAAATACAGATCCAACATCTATAAGTTGCATATATGAAAATAAGAACCCAAAAAAAAAATAATAGTAATAGTCATGTTCCAGTCACTTAAAATGAAAGAAGTACCAGCCATCTGAATCAGACATGACACAACATGAGTATGTAGAGGTGCTAGTCATACTGGTCTACCCATATCTTAACCTTGAACCAACCTCATGTCACTGGGTTGGTATGGTCCAGTTCTCTAATAATATTGGTCCAGTCCTGTTAAAAGATTCAAAGAACCAACAAATTCGTTTCCGTTTTAGGTTGATTAGTCGGTTTACCAAAATTAATCAAAAACTGGTCCTCTTCAGACCCATCATTTTCGTCTTTATATAAAGGAGAGACAAGTTTTCCTGGGATGAAAATGTTAACTAACGATGGACAAAGATTGAACAAAATGTGAGAAAAATAAATTTTCTTCTCATTTTTTTTTTATGCACGGTTGTCTGTTACCATTTCTTTTTTGAGTTGAGGCTAATCCCCACAAATGCATACAATCACTTTCAAACTTTTACATTGCATAAGCCTTAGGAGAGTCAAGTTTTTTTGTACCATTGCCTTGGCTAACTCACCTACCTGTGTGGGTTAAGGTGGGGTTATGTAAGAGACTTGTTTGACATTACATAGCCAAAAAGTCCCCTCTTTTTTCTTTTTCTTTTTCATTTTTTTTTTTTTTTTTTTTTTTTTTTCACCCTTTTTAAGTTGAGATTATCCCCATGGACACGTACAATAACCAAACCATGTTCCCTGAGCCATTGATACAGCTAACTCAACTACCCTTTGCAGGGTAAGGTACGGTAAAAGATTTGTCTAATATCACATGGCTTCAAAAATTCTCTCCTCTCTCTCTCTCACACACACACATACGCACATATCTGTTCTCATCTCTCTCATTCAGAGCCAAAGACTCTCTCTCTCTCAGTTTCACTTCCCATAAAATAATTCAACTCATAGATCACAGATATAAGGAAGATTCAACCATTGTAAGAGATCACATATCACAATTCACACATCAGTTAGTGAAAAGAAGCTCTGCATGATGGGTACGTAAGTAAAGATATCAATGCATCTCTAATTTTCTTTCTTTCTTTTTTTTCTTTTCTTTTCTTTTGTTTTTTTTGTTTTTGTTTTTGTTTTTGTTTTTGGGTAAGTATTTCTAATTAAACTTTATATAAATTTTATTAACACTTTATTTGATTTTTTTCTTACAAATATAACTTTTCTTCTATCTCAAAGAAATAGATCATGTTTCTGAAATTAAGAATTTGAGCTGTCCCAAACACTAGTCCGCGAGTGCACTTCAGTGTCTGAACAAATCACACTTAAAAGTGTCCGTGCTTCATTGGCGTAAACTAAAGCAGCACTCCAGCTATTTTTCCCTTTTTACACTAGAACCATATTGAAGATAATACTAGATGAAAGGAACACTAAAGCTAACAACCATATGAATAAGATAAAGATATGTCTGTGGTCATTACCAGAGTTGATGGATCAATTGGTGCCTTTCCATCCTTCCAAGCAGCATCAAGGTATGTCCTTAAGGACATGCCAACGAATGCCTAACACAATGACGACAACATCATCTGTCTCCGAAATTATACAGTGCAAATGATCTAAGCAAGGAGAGGGAAAATTTAACATTAATTTAGAGAAGTAAGGATAAACATACCAACTTTCTGCCAGTTAAATCAGCTGCAGCTTTTACACTTCCAAGGCGATGTATATTCGACGCAAACTGAGTAGTAATAACTCTTCCCTTGGCAGCAGAAATACGCCTTGATAATGCATCAGCTACAACAGTCTCACTAACTGTCCTTCCAGGCGAAAGTACATTTGTCGAGTCACTCATCATCTGAAAAGGAATATGAATAAATTGATGTCTGCCGTGGTTACTGCTATTCATTGGAAAAAAAATAACCAACGATATTTTATTCATTAACTTTTATAAGGAAGAAAAATACTAAAGATCACCAAGTGGAGTGCAAACTGAAGTACATGCAAAGTATACAAAAGGTCCAGTCAAAAACTAACCACTTGGTAACTCACAAAATCTTAAAATGTTAACAAAAGACTTGCACAAGTGCTAAACTGTCGGGAGAGAACAAGAAAGGATAAAATAGAATGCATTTTCAGTTTTTATCATTGTCAGCTGCATGCATTACAAGATAAGGTCGGTTCCCTCTCTCTATTTGCACCACCAAATAATAAAAGAGAAAACAACAGAGAGGTAGCTCTCTGTAGCACCTGCTTAGACATTTTGAGACAAAAATCATCACCAACTCGTAAGCTTTATAACAGGTTGAGCAACACCCAATCCAATTTTAAGTTGAGAAACAGGAGAGAACCACAAATTCCCAGTTATCTTACAATGCACTAAAAAGATTATTAACATACTTCTCAGCCACAAACATGTAATACCAACTTGGGAGCAAGTCGACATAACAAATTAATGATAATGATATACCTTGTCAAGGAGAAAAACCAACAAGAAATCCAACTTTAAGGGCACCTGTGCATGCCAAACTGCTTTTCAAGTAAACCCATTTTCACCTCCAACAACCTCACACAAGGTTACTATGTTATAATATCCCACCACACATCCCTTCGACAAACACCAATCCTGTACTACAAAACAAAATGCACGAATACTGAATATCTCCCGGGCAGTAACTACTAACTACCCAAGCAAATCGAGGAAACCAGACTACCCCCCCTCTCTCATGAAGATCCAACATATGACTTGCATGCATGAGCGACACACAAATTCAAACATTGTAGGAGGAAGAAAAGATAAATAAAATTAGGTATTTGGTAGAATTACGATTATATTTTCATTTTAGTTTGGGTAGTGTTTAACTTTTACAGTTTACTAATATTTAGGGCTTCTATATTTTGCATAGGATTTGGCTATATATACAAGGTTTTGATGTATTAGGGTTTTTATGTATAGACATATTTCTTCACCAATTTTTCTTCTCTGTTCTTCCTCTTCTCTCTCCTATCTTTCTCCTCTTTATTCTCCTCTTCTTTTTCTTTTTTTCTTTTTGTTATTTTTTTTTCCCTCTTCTGTTTCTGTTTTTGCATAACTTAGCGGCCCCACATAATAATCCACCCACGCAACTGTCCAAGCTTCCTTAAACTTAGCAAACTATACAAACCACAAGAGACTATCTTAAGAGAAACATACCCACACTATATCCTCCCAAGGGATGATGGGTGGGGAAGTGGAAGAGAAGAAGTGCCCCTACACCAATTATGGTGCAAAAATGCACTCTCCAACCACTAAATATGCCTAAAGAACCAAACAACCTTTACTTATCAAAAAAAAAAAGAACCCAACAACCTTTCCTAATTACCTTGACAAACCAACACAAAAGAACCTCAACAATAACTATTCCATCAACCACCACCACCACCGCATTATTATCCAACCACCAATGACCCTTCCCCACCAATTACCCCTTTGTAGATTCTTCTTAATACACAACCATTTTCCTGACAAAGCTTCATTAAGCATAACAAGCTTTCTATTACCCAGACTTCTCTCAGAGAAAAGCACACCGAGATGATATAAAACCTCATCCTCTATCTCCAAAAAGAAGAAGAACCATTTGGAGTGTTTGAAGGTCCACTGCCACCAATGCCAACCTGCAAAAAGTAGAGGCTGATCTAACCCCAAAAAGTAGTTCTTCCTCCGTGTTGCCAACCCATGTCTTAAAGGTCACCACTTCTTAGTGTAAACAGCGAAAACACAGCTAACCCTATAGCTAACTCAAACCTACAAAGTTGGCAACTTTGTTTACATAAAGCAACTCCCACTTACTCATATTAACCATCAAGCTTGAGTCACCTGAGAGTATGCCCCAATACAACACAATCAATCGATGCAAGCCAAAGTAAGATAAGGAAAACAAACACTGTTGTCCATGCACAAAGGTGATAACTTAATAATACCTGTAACTGCCTCAAAAGCCAAATAAAAAGTATACTAATAATATAAAGAGGAAGGAAAGAAAGAGAGCACCAAACTGAAATCTTCTCCAAGATAAGCTATTGGAAGAGCACCCACCCTACATCTAAGTTTCTCAACTAAGGAAAAATGTAATCTATCTCACCCACCAGCACCAACTCTTTGCCCAGAATTCACCTTCAAACCCGAAACTGTCTCAAAGCAAAGAAACACGTCTTCAATAACGCAATTGCTCCATCATCCTACAGTTGCAGGTGTGAGATGAAGATACCCCCAACTGGACACACCAAGAATCTTTAAATCAGAACACCCAACGCACCTGTGTCTAGCATCATACCAGTGCCTCCATTTTTTTTTTTTGTCTAGCATCACTAAGACAAAATGCAAAGGTGATGAGAGGTCTCCCTGCCTCAACTTCTAGAGTCTCAAAGACACCAGCCGGGCTTCCATTCACCAAATCGGAACCTTAGGAATGAAATACAGGCCTCAGTCAACCACAGCTCCACAGTCTGCTGCCAAAACATGAGTTCATAACAGCTCCGCCAACCAATATGAAATAATTACTCCTATCATGCACTTGGAATGTAAACAAAAAGCCACCCTCTGCTGGTAGCCACACAGCCATACTCCATACCTCACTTCTAAGCCACCCTATTGTATTATGGAAACATGTCTCCTAACAATCGTCTTTATACTTCTTGCATGAGCCCCTTACAAAAATCTATACCTTCAGCAATGTAAGCAACTTGACAGTAGATCTACTGTGTACTGTAAGACTCTAAAAACTGTACAATGTAAGACATTGTACAATGTAAAAAAACTACCATATTACTAGTTGAACAATTAACTATAACCATGTTTATTACCACAAAAAGGTAGACACGATAAATATAACACCTATGGTATTTATGGTTTGTAGCACACTAGTAACTTGCAAATAAATTATATAATCTCCAAAATGAGGAAATTGAGGGATCGTTTGGCATTGATGTTGTAATGACAAAAACGCTTTTATTAGTAGAGTTGTCAAAAAATTGTTGTTAGTAAAAAGAATTTTAGGAGTTTCGCGACACATTTATATAAAGAAGTACTTTTCATAATTAAAATACTTTTTAATTTGTTTGGTAACTATATGTTTTTTTTTATAAGTTATTTGTTTGGTAACTATATTGTTTTAAGCACTTCTATTGTTAATTTTAAAAGATGGAATGTTACTATATTTGATAATGGTAGGACTTTATAAAAGAAGGGTAAAATTGTCTTTATAAAAAATAAAAAGGGATAAAATTGTCTAAGGAAACACAGTTTCCTAAAACATAGAACCTCTCTCTACTCAGACAGCAGTTTTAAAACATAGAAAAAATTAGCTTTGAGGTAAAATCTTTGCCATTTAAAAGTGCTTTTTTTTTTTTAAAACAAACACATTTAAAAGCAAAAAAAATAAAAGTCTTTTAAGTGGTTCAATAGCAATCCCAAACGGGCTCAGAACTTCATTAATCCTTTTGTCAAAATCAGTACTATATCTTGAACAAACTTCACAAATGAAATAACATATTATTATCATAGATCACTTATACGACAGCATCAACAATGTAACACACCAGTATTCCTGAAATTTTAGCCCCTCCCTCCCCCCATTCAATCAGAAAGAGAAAAATTATTTATAGTGAATAAAAGTTAAACTGAACCCAGTGCTGTCTTCTGTATTCCTCAAAATCAAAGCCAATCAATAAATGGTCTTATAAATTATAATAAAACTAGCAGCAAAATTAAATGACTACTAGATCGAGGAGACTTACCAATGTTACCCCTTCTTTTGAAAGTTCCTCAAGAGCTTCACGATCAAAAACTTTCCCATCCAAGGGTGACTCATCAATCTATTGAATATACAAAGCTCCACCAATGAACACAAAGAAGTTGCAAAAATGTATAGAAAATAAAAATAATATTAAATACCTTCCAGTCCCCAGTATGAAGAATAGTTCCATCAGCACAGCGAAGAACCAATCCACAACAATCAGGAATAGAATGGGTGACCCTGATAGGCTCTATTTCAAATGGTCCGGCACTGAATCTCCTCCTAGTTCTAAATACCTTAAGCCTAGATGGGACAAATATGCCAAATTCCTTCAAACGCTTCTTAATTAGCTGTTCAGAAATAAAGGGAGTGTCAATCTTTCTATATCAAGATGAAGACGAAGACCAAGATTAAAAAACAACATGTACACTTCCATGCATTTATACATGTGTGAGTTACAACAGTCTCAAAACCCTCGATAATGCCATATGCCACAGCATGGGGTGGGGGTTAAACAATATTTATTTCCAAATAATAAGGTAAAAAAGTACATATCCATAAATTGATGCATATAAAATAAAAGAAAAACTCTATTGAAAATGATGAGGACGATCATTATTGACCCAAAAAAAAATCATTATTGACCAAGGTGTGTGCATTTTTTGTTTTCAAACACCAAGGTGTGTGCATTTTTTGTTTTCAAACACCAAGGTGTGTTCATTGAATCTACTAACATGATTAAAATTGCTTGTTGTCCAACACTACCAGCTTTTCACAATTAAATATGAGAAGTGCAACTAAATTCGGAAAAGTTTTATTAGATACCTCCATTGTGAAGGATGATGCAAATATTGGCGTTTGGGGATCCAAAGCTGGGATTACCTGCTCAGATAACAAAGAAAGTAATGAAAACTTTAACATGTATAAGATACTGAAGCCCAATAAAAATGAAAAGGCAAATGGGACAGGATGTGAACAAGTACTCTTTCCATAAAATGGAAAAAAGTTTACAACAGGAACTAAATCAATGAAAGTGAGACAACCTAGGTATAAAATTATTGTTCAAAGTAAAAAAATTTAAAGCCATTCTTTAAGGCCCAGTTCCAATTGCCCGATTCAAGTATTCAACAACCAAAAGAAGCTAGGGACCACATTCATGCAATTGAAAACATCATCGCATAGATCATTGATGTAACTACTAATTTACTGAACTAGATTAAACATATTATACAGCATACTATCAGCTTCTAAATCTGAAACTCATGCAGCATAACTCTTCAGCATCAATATGGGCCTACTCTCATCTAAAACACTTTTGAATAATTTCCACCGACTTTTACAGACCGTGAAGCTTAAGGCACATTATCAGAAATCAAAATAAAGATCACCAAGAGGACATAAATTTAATGCATTGATGATAAAGTGATTTTTCTAGACGAAGAAAAGAAACATTACCCAAGGCAACGCACCAATGTGATCTTCATGACCATGCGTTATGACAACTGCTTCAATTTTGTGACTCCATTTTTTTATAAATGTGGTATCAGGTACAATTTTCTGGACACCGAGCTCATCATAGCTGAAATGCATATCATACATTTCAGGTCAATGGATCAGAAAGAGGGGAGGAAGGTTAGTTAGCAATAATTACATCATCTCCAAAAAGTACTAAAAATGCAAATGCAAAAATCTAGAAGAAGATTGTGCGACTCAAGTAAAAGTTATTGGTTTTGACAAAATGGTTGCTATGAAGAAATTTTATATTTGACTAACAAAATAAGATTCTGAACTTCTTGTTAATTTAAATGACAATAAGTAATTTGGCATTTTTTCCAACATGCCAATAAAATCACAAAATTACAAAAGGAATTATGAAATGATAACAATAAGCAACCCATAACAAAAAAGAGTGTTTTTTTCAATAGGTAAAAGGAAAAGGCAAAACAAGACTTCTTCACATGACAGGAACAGCAAAACGACCAAGCTACAAATTGTTTAGAAAGGAAAAAGAAAAATGATAAGAAAGATAAAAAAGGCAAAATGATTTGCTAGGCTTTACTCCGGAAACATGACGCCAGCGTCAATCAATATATAACGATCATAGTTTCCAACAAGCATGCAATTCATCCCGATTTCACCCAGGCCACCAATTGGAAGAACACGGAGAGGTGGGCCATCAGACCCCTCATAAAACTGCTCCATTTTACGTTGAATAGAGTCTTCCATACTTTTTCGAGCCCCTTCCATTTTTCCTGATCTTTTCCGGGGTACTTTAGATCCATGAGTACCTAAAATGCCAAAAAAAAAAAAAAAAAGGGCATAACAACCGTCAATGATATGAAGGATCAAAACAAAAAGTGGAAATGACCGAATAATTGAATCTTGGTAAAACAACTATAAACCAGAGGAATTTACAGGGAAAAAGAAAAATATAAACTAGAGGCTTGGAAATTGGCAAAAGGATGATTTAAAGAAAAGAAAGCTAGAAAAGTATTAAGAAATTATTGCAGAAGATAAATAATAAGCTACCACTGGGCATTTGTGGGTAAACTGGGAAATTATTAGGACTTATATTTTATAACTAAAACAGGATATCAGAACAAAATCTGTCCAATGGAAGAAATTGGACACCTAAATTTTAAAACTGTGACCTAGAAAAATATTACATCCATCGAGTGAAACTAATTCATCTTTTAGCTCCATCTGTTTTAAGTTCTACATTTCTGACAAAGGAGAAAATATTTCTTTTTTCTTTTCTTTTTTTTTTCCTTTTTTTTTTTTTTTTTTTTTTTTTTTTTTTTTTTTTAAGTAAGATTGTGTTTTCTTTTGTATATGTTCCTTTTCCTAATGGTAAAGTAATTCTTAGTGCTTCCTTAGCTTTAAGAAAGATTGTGCCCAGATACAAGTCAAACAATGAGACAATGAACAAATAAATCCATTTAAGTTATGCTGATTTTAAACTTCAACCATAAAATTCCGGTTCTAAAAGATAGGATTTTAAGCTAACTTGAAACAATGTCCACTGTATGAATAAAACATAGAATGGCTACTCGCTGCACAACAAGCAAGTCATAGGACTAAAATCCCACAAAGATACCATCCAAGAGAGAGACCCATTTCAGCCAAAAAGAACTAGTTCCAGACGCAATACCAATGGAAAATAAAATAATAAGATACTACATAGTTAGCTACAGTGTCACAGTAATCATTCAAGAACAAAATTTTCATTTGAATAGCTTTATATCCTATTCAGTTGATAAGAAAACTCAAAAAACACAAGAAACTGATTGCCTGTCAAAAGCACAAAACTTTAAATAGAAAACCAACAAAATGAAGTAATACGTTAATGGGTTAATGGCAATCGCAAAGAAAGAACAAAATTTTCGCCTTTAACTGCTTTATCCTCTGTTTGGCCACCAAGAAAACGCACATCCAAAAAACCAAAAGAGAAAAGAGAGATTACAATTTTGAAATAAATTTTTTTTTTTCATATATGAATTTAAGAAAACCAAAACCACTCAAAGAAATGTTTTTCCCTACTCTGAAACAAACATGTTCTATTCACATTTTTTTACTTTATTTTCAATTTATCCACTTTCTCGGCAACCAATCAAGTCAAATACTCCCTAAGACAAACACTAAACCGAATTGCTTAGTGTGTGTATTGCATACCTCTAACAGAAGGAGAGGCGATAGAGCACAAAATGGAACGCTTGCTGGAGCGAGCCTCCTTGCTTCTTCTTGGGAAACAGAATAGGTTCCAAACTTGATGGCTAGGGTTCAAGGATTGGTAGAGGATGAAGGAACTCTTGTTAGGGTTTGGGCGACACGAGAAGTTGTACGGACGGGGTGAGAGAGCACTGAAAGCGGCCATAGTTGTTTGTTTCAGCAAAAGCTCAGTTCAATTTATGGATAATCCAAAGTTTATTGAGAGGTTTTTCAGAGTTACGAAACTGTGAAATCGAAATACTATAAATCTGAATAATTATCTAGAGATAGAGAGTAGAGTAGAGTAGAGTAGTGTACTAGAGATGATTTTTGTGAGCGCATAAAATATCTATGTTATCATTTTGCAGAAGACGGGAGGAGGACACAAACGTGGTTTTCGATGAGTTCTTGCATTGCACGTGACCTTTTTTTATTTTATTTTTTCTAAAAAAAATATTGACATTTTCTGTTTATTAGTGTCGAAGTTATTAAAAATAAATTTATAAGATAAAATAAGAGGGAAAGTCCGAAAGTGGTATGTAATAGAAAAAATTGATTAGAGAATTCAACTGGTATGTGGTTAGCCCATATATATATATATGAAATTAGGGCAACTATGTTTGAAAATTATTTTTTTAAAGTTCAATTATTAAAAATGTTTTAGAAAACACTCTTTTACAATTTCTTGAAGAAGTGTGCTTTTCTTCTTTCTTTCAAAATTTAACAATCACTTTGACTAGTTATTAACTTATTACTATGATTTAATTTAGAGTTATTTTGATATGATTTTTTTTAAAGATAAAATCAATTAAATACGAACAACGTAATGATATGATTTATACATGATTTTTCATACTCAGAACACGTTAATTTAAGAGAGAGTTGGTGATAGTTATCATAATATAACAAAGTGTCTTTTTTTTTTTTTTTTTTTTTTTTGTCCTCTACAATTTCATCACTTCCAAAGCAATAAACACCATTTTACATCAGTTGTGATCTTGGCATTATTTTTTCTATTTCATTTTGTTATAGTTCTCAAATGAATACAGAATCATTCCAAATATGCTTTAAATTGTCAAGAACAAACTGTTAACCACTAACAGGAATAGCTTGTGTTGGATTCAAATTGTGTATTAGGCCTGTGGACCGAAAAACTCCTCTCACTAATGGCAACAGGTCTACGTCGAACACATGATAGCCCAACAAGATGGATCCGAGCTACATATAACTTTGTAGCTTTCAACATTGATCTAATTCGTGAAAATTTTGACATACTTATCGTGAACGTGTAGGCTGACTTAGCACTGCAAGAGACTTGCACACAACTAAGACCGTAAGTTTGGAAAGATCTAAGTCTGTGACATAAAAGTCATAACAAATTATTTTCTATTTAAACGTCAATCACAAAATATTCTAATTAAATTCGTATGAAATCTCAAAAAAAAAAACAAAAATTATCTTCAACTTACCGAGGATCAATCTTTTAGATACTAACAGGCTCAACAAAACCAATATTAGTTGTTTAATACTAATGGAGGTTGGAGGTGAGAGCATCTATCAAACTGCAAATACTGTAGATTTACATTGTCAACGTCAATGTCCACAATACAAAACCAAAAAATTCCATATCGTCTTCATCTTCCATCTGTCATTTACGCTCCAGAGCAGCAAAAAATGGCCAACATTCTCGACATTGGGATCGAAGAAGAACAATATGAATAAAAGGTAATCAAACATATAAAGAACTATCCGTCTTGCGTAAAAAGAAATGCAGCAGCAGCCTATAGCTGGGAATCATCAATGGCAACAGAGCCATAGATAGGTGAAATCATTAGCAGAACCGGAGGAGAAATGTATTCATTGTCTTCTTTGATTTTCAATGGGATGCCTCGAAGATGGACGAATACAACAATGACTAAATTTAACACAACTACGATTACATCATGAACAAAAGATACCCAGACATTAGTTTCTATCACATTCAATAAGCTTATGGATGTCCTTGTTCTGCGACCTCCTTGTTCCTCACACATCGGTTCAAACTTCACTGGCATGTCCTGGAAACCATGGCAGTCCTGGTTGGAGGCATTGTTGTGTATTTGAAACAGGAACTATGGGACCCAGAAAGATGCGCCACAAGTCGAGTATTATTGTGACTAGCATTGCAGCTCCCAAAGCATCAATGGCTACTCTGGGCAAGTCCCACAGATCACCGGGTTTCTCATCAATCCTGTACATAGGGGTGAATCCTAGTTAGGACAATTGACATAGCATTGTTACAACAAGACAGAGTACACTTTGTTTATTACAAGTAAAGGAACTCTAGCATACACGCTTAACTAGAGTTTCTTATTGGAAAAAGTAAAAGAAATAAATTTGCGCATTAATCAGTTCTGTAGAAGGAATATGCCAGTTGTCTGCTGGTCAGGATTGTCGAACCCCCTAAATTAGATTCAAGCTACATACATGGACTTTCAAAAGCAAATGAAGTACCCGTATTGGACACAACAATACTTGGACGTGTCCGACACTCCTGGTTCGTCATGCACCTAAAATGTATATTCAATTTAATTTTATAATTGCTCCAAAATGATTGAAATACTATATTGAACACTATTATATGATAGACATTATTCTACTCTAAAAAATATTTATTAAAGAATATGATATCTGGCAGCATCCTTTTGTCCTTCTCTTTAGTGATTTGACATGTCCGACACTGGGATAAATACCCACCCTCGAAACACATACCAGCGTCCATTGTAATGTAAGGTAGATTGTAATGTAAGGTAGGATTCAAGTCTTCTAAGGAGTTTCAGCAGTGAGCACCATCTGTTGTTGGGAATATATATATATATATATATATATATATATATATATATATATTTTCCACCCCCACCCCCCAACCTTTAATTCCCCTTCTCAACTATTAACTCACAAAACTAATCTAAGTAGAAAACGAAAACCAAACCTTCTCATGAAGTAGCCCACGCCGCTAAACATTGGAGTATGTTGTACGTATCAGCAAGTACTACATAAACTTTGAAGTTCCACTGACAAAAGTCAACTCAACAAAGCCTTATCATACTTGGGATATTCTATAATACTCTTTTAGGCTATTTAACCATCATGCAGATCTAGGGTTGTATCTATTGCTAAGCACTTTCTTTCTGGTGCATGGGGGTATGGCACCTTCAACCAGAACAATTTATTTTAAAATTATGATGTCCTTTTTTTCGGAAGATATAAAAAAAAAATTAAAAAAAAAAATGTCAAGTTAAAGGCACTATGCACTCTCCAGCAACACTCAGAGAATCCGTGAATTAGAGTAGATGTAACAGCTGTGAAATGTATATATATATATATATATATATATATATGTATATATATAGAGAGATAGATATATAAGCTATTAAAACTTAAAAGTTAAATTTTGAATATAGAAGTTTATTCCTTATCCAAACAATGAAAACCTAACCCTAATTACCCACGTTTATTTTCAGTTTCCCCATGTTTGTAGTCATTCCTGAACATCACACTACCGTGTTGGTAACACTCACTCCTATTATTATTTTTTTTTTTCCTGAATGAACCCTCGCTCCTATTATAATGATCAAGTTAGAGAATGACTCAAAGAGAGATGTGAAATATAAGGGAAGAATAAAGAGAAATGCAAGAGAAGGGAGAGACGGGAGAGAAGGCGTCAGGTTGCAATTGGATTGAAACTAGGCTATTTGAGACTAACATAGATAATGGAAATTGTTACTTTTTACTATATCTCAGCCATCACTCTCCATTTCCATATTACTACTCCCAATTTTACATGAGTTACTCATTATGCGTCCATTATATTTTGCATTTGAGAAGGCATTGGTTGACCCACCAGTAAAATCTCAACCTACCAAGTGCCAGAATGCAAGTGTCGAGACAGCCTTGCGTGCAACTAATGCCAAAATAAGTTTATGCCTAGTCTGCCCCTTCCAACACCCTCAACTAACATTGGGGAATAATATATTACATCTTACCATTGTATCTTAGTCCTCTTCATTCTAAACCTTTCAATCCTAGCATCTCTCCCTGATTTTACCTGTGATACTCCAATTCTGGTTTCGGCAACCAAAACTATGTTAAGAAAATCACATATATTAGGACACCTTCCTGTTCTGTCCAATACATCATCAATAACCAGTGTTAAATGCAACAGTCTTACAAATTAAATGTAGATTCTTTTGATGTTACAATATTAGGGCCATGCATGTCACAAACAGGCAATCCATGTAAGACCCACAATTGGTAGCAACTATCTATGCAAGCAAACTAGTCTGTAAGCTAGGTTGTGTTGTTCAACATAATAAGAAAAAACAAAAACAGTAATCCATTGAACCAAGTTCTTACCTCAAAAACATTGGGAAGCTTACAATAAAATAAATAGCATAAAACAAGGAGCCAACTTTGTACATGGATGCCCGATCGACAAAGTCATAATAAGGGAACTGCACATGTTCAAAACAAAAGACTTTAGTAACAGCCATGGCTGCATCGTCAAGCAGATTATTCAGTTTAGTACTTTAGCATCAATTACAGGGCATTAAAGAGAAGTAACAGATTATATGCCACTAAGTAATAACATTCAAAACCATAAAATAGAAATTACTTTTCCAAGCCTTATTATTAAAAAATAAGGTAAAGTTGATGATGATAGAGTATAATATTAAGATAGGCATTATTGCATGATCTGGCTAGGGTACGAAATCAGATGTCTATTTGTCAAGTAATAAATTATTGTATGTAGACTGCCATACTGCTTTGTAATAGAAACAAGATTAGGGGTATTAACCAGCTAAAAATATATATTTACAAATATTTCAACTAGAATGGAACGGATATTTATTATATGTATCCACCAACTTAAGTTTTGATGTATTTTCTAACTCCTCATGTAAGGAACTGCCAAAAAAACACTTTCAGAAAAGATGTGAATTAGGGAGGTTTGGACAACAAAATATGAATTGGAAAATCTAAAAGATCATGGATTTGAAGTGTGTTAAGAAGGATATAAGATTTGAGTGTATGAGAAGAAGACTGGTGTTGAAGCGCTAGTATAATTCTTCCACACAATATTATTTGTTAGATGGCTTATTTTGTTTGTTTTAGAATTTGATGGTGTTTTTATGCTCCTTAAGAGGGGCATGTGCCCATCAAATTCCCTTCCAATGGAAATTATGGCCACCTTGCATGAACAACATTAAATAAAATGGAAGTGCTGAACTAATCATTCTACAATTTTTTTTCCATCCCATGAAATTCCCCATCCCCTAGCAAACCTGAACCTCCTCAATCATCTCTAACAGCACATCCACCAAGTCCAATCCTAATCCTAAAGAGCAATTTTTTACCTGCCAGACGGCACCACCTTCCAAGACGAGCGATCTCAGAGATAGTGCTCCTCTAATCTCTATCCATCGCTATTTGGAAAACACCAGGAAAAATGCCTCAACTAAATCTTGTACTACCTATAATACAATCATGCTATTGGAAAAAGGTAAATGGAAAACAGAAAGGAACTAGCTCCATTGCCAACCAGGAATGCTCTAATTAAGCCATCCTCAAAGCATAATCACTATGGAAACAAATTTTTCTTGTTCAGTTTCACTTCAAATTTCTCTCCAATGGCTGTCATCCCTTTCTATCTTCAGGACCAAGAGTGCCTAATTAATTCATTCATTCAATGCTTCTATCATGAGGATAGGAGGGGGGGTAAAGCATGGATAGGGGATTTCCCTGCCTCAAAACATCTCTAACTTAAGAAAGTTTAGCATATTCAACTGCCTTCAAAGAGAATCCATTGTCGAAATACAAACCTTTGTACATCTCTTCCAATTTGCTCTAAAGTTCATCCTGCCAAGCATAAAAAAGAAAAAAAGTTCACTTGGTTGTAGGCCTACTCAGTAAAACATTCCTGCCTTTACATTCCTTTTCTTCGAATCCTTACATTTATTTATAACCAATAGAGCATCCAGAATCCATCTCCCACCCAAATCACCGTTTTTGTTCTAAAAGAGGAATAAAAAAAATTTACAGCAATTTATAAGCACCCCCACCAGACTAATAGGACTAGTTTCCCTAATGTCAACCCCATATCCGTTTTTCAGCATTAACACAATAAAGAAGCATAAAAGACCTTTGATCTTAGTTTCACACCATTTGTGCAGATAAGGATTAGGGCTGTAAACGAGCCGAGCCGAGTAATGGTGTGCTCGAGCTCGGCTCGGTCAGGTAATAGGCAGCTCAAGCTCGGCTCGAGCTTGAGTCGAGCCAAGAAAATTTAGTTCGAGCTCGACTCGGCTATGTTTGACGAGTTTCGAGCCGAGAGCTCGATAGCTCGTTTATTTATTTATTTATTTTTGTTACCCAAGTTCCAACAGATCTGGAACAAAAAATTTTGAGAGAGAAATAGATTTGCAGCAATAAAAAGAGCGCGTGGGCGCGAGTGAGATCCCGGCAAATCTCTGAAACTGCCATTCTTCGTTGATGGTTGGGGATCGGCACAGAAAAAGTACTTTCTGTGTTAGCTTTCTTGTCGGTAACGAGTCCAATGGACGATGAAGATTGGGTTCTGGTGAGAAGATCCACAGACAAAGACTACTAGAACCCAAGCTCCTTCGTAGATGCAGAGCCTTTGAAGCCTCTCAAGGTTAGGTTCAATGAACCAGCCAAGCATACCGTCTCTGTGCTATGATTTGGGGCCGCGGCGCTTTGGAGACTTTTTTTGGAGAGAGAGAACAGATGGAGGCAGGAGGCGCAAGAAAGGCAAAAGCAACCCTAAACATAAAAGGGTTTATATACAAAGGCAAGAAAGGCCTATTTGCATAATAACCACAAACTCTATATATAATTACAATATGACCCCAACATAAATATATATATCTACATACAATTACAATCTGACCCCAACTTTTGTATATATTATAATTGGGTATGTATGTGTGTGTATATATATATATATATTATAATCGAGTATGTTCGTGAACGTATTATCGAGCTCAGTTTGTGAACGGTTCATGAACAAACGAGTCGAGTATACTGATGTTTAGATTCCGCTCATTTATAAATCGAGCCTCATAATTCGGCTCGAGCTCGGTTCACTTACTTAATAAACGAGCTTGAGCCAAGTAATTAATGAGCCGAGCCTGAGCCGTTCGCGAACGGCTCAACTCGTTTGCAGCCCTAAGGATGACACTTACTGATAGGGGACCCTCTTTACCTTCGAGGGTAGTTTGGCGTGCCAAAGCCCCCATTAAGGTGACTTTCTTTGTGTGAACGGTAATTTTAGGAAAGGATCTTGACAATTGATAACCTGAGGAAGAGACGTCATATTATGGTGAACTGGTGTTGTATGTATAAAAAGGATAAGGAGTTGGTAGATCAACTCCTTTTGAAATGTCCAGTAGCTAGAAATGCATTGGCCATCTTATTTGCACTTTGGGTGTTTTAAATAAATTTTACTTATCAACCAAAAAAGAAAGAAGAGGGCGGGGGGGGCGGGGTTGTTGGATTTACTTATGTTTACAAGATATGTGTCTATATAAGAACTGTTATGCAAACTGGGATAACATTTTATAACAACCCTTTGGGGGGTTGGGTGGACGATTATAGGACCATATGTTGGTACTTCTGTTAGTACAGGGCAAATTTGTACTTCAAGCACTATAGTATGACTATTGTGAAGTGTATCAACCATATCAAAATATATGTGGCATTTGTCTTTAAACCTAATCTATGATGCACCAAAACCATCCTTCATTATATTTATAATAACAGCAGCAGCAAGTAAAGCAACTACATTACCACATACATTTGCAATTGATACGGTCTCCAGGTAAGCTATAAAATAAGCCAGAGCTAGGATCCATACAGCCTTGATAACCCATTGAATATTCTCTGGCAAGTCAGCAATAGAATGTTGTAGCCTACGAAGTGTTATGTTTGATGTAACATGGTAAAATAGGAAGCAAACATGTGCGAGAAGGAAAGTTGTGTGTGGTACCTACAAAGAATAACAAATGTTCAGCATGGTAAGGAAAATAATAAATTGATTATGCTAATTAACTGCCAACCTAAGTGAAGATTCCTGCTTTATAGCTTACATTATTCATCTTCCATGATGGGAAAGTATAGGAAGCTCCCAAGACTGTGAAGAAATAGTGAGTCCAAAAGTAGTTTCCAACATAGCTGAAAATTACTATCCAGAGACTGGCCTGCGCGGTACAATTTTATAGTTACAACCAAGAAAAAACATAAAAATAATAACTCTTAAAAGCAGTAAGAGCAGCCAAATTTCAACAAAAGTGACCGGCCATATTAGCTAATCAAATAGCCAAAAGAACTTGATTCAAGCAATCCATGGATAATTCACAAATAAACAACCAACCAACTAAATCACCGAAAAATTTGTACAAACATTGGCCAAAATGAATGATCAAAGTGGATCTCGTGTTTCAACACCATGGGATGTTGAGGAAAAGCCCAAATAGACTGGGTTGACCACCAGAAGGATGAGAACCTCAAGGGCCCGACTGTATTGGGAATAAAAGATCCATGAATTCTACCAAAACTATAGTAGCACATTGCTTAAGTGTTGGCATGGCATCTCATTATTTTCTTGGCATTCACTAGGGACATGTTGTAATACCCCTAATTTTCAAAAGGATAGTCTCGGTATTTTGTTTAATTGTTTTCTTTTCATGAATTGTTTTATTTAATGTTTTAATTGGTTTAAGTGTAATTAGTTGTTTTCTTTTCATTAATTGTTTTATTTAATGTTTTAATTGGTTTTGGTTTTGGTTTTGTTTAAATTGATTAATTTGATTATTTAATAGGAATTATTTGTTTAAGTATTTTAATTAGTTAATTGACTTAATTGTCTTATTTAAATGTTAATTTTTTTTTAAATTGCTTGATTATTTGAGTTAACTGTTTTAATTATTTATTTGGCTTTAATTTCATTAAATTGTGTTATTTGATTAATTACCTGATAGAATTGTTATTAATTAATTGTTTTCATTTTTGAATTTATTTACTTAACGTAAGTTAGGTTTAAAATTTACATGGGTAGCCGACGTTGATTATAACCTAGGTACCTATGGGCTGAGTTATATCTTTATGGACTTAGGGTTATCAGGATTCACCTATAAACATAAGCAATACGGTGGTTTAGGGTTTTAGAAAACATAAAGCTACGTCTGTATCACCAAGGGCTGCTAAGAAACAGAGCGTGAACTTGGGGAATTGGCAGAGCAGTTCAAGGAAGACTACAGAAACTGTGGAAGTAGAGTTTCAAAGTCTGAAACTCAAGGCAAGTTTCTGATCTTCTCTTTCTCTGTAATTCGTGTTCTGTGCATGCCTAGTGTAGATTCCAAGGATTTATTCAAGGATATAACAGATTTAAATAAACATTAAAACAAGTCTGTTATGCATGTATGAATTTTGTTAGACTCGTTGATGTAATTTTTTTGCATTACTTTTGAGGTTCTGTCATTTGAGTCTTCTGTGGTTTATGTTTAAGCTTTGCTACAGTTGGGATTAATAAGGTGATTGGATGACTATAAACTATTCTAGGATTGGGTTTGAATTCAAGAACAAGAATTTAGAACAGTATATATAAAAACAGCACTGAAGTAATTTACGGTTAGTTGCTTAAACTTTTTAACAGAGGTTTTGTAAACATGGCTTAAAAACCTGTGTTCCTTCATATCTTAGGACTGGATTTCAGTGGTTTAGACTTATCTAGGACTAAGATTGAACCTTGAATATGATCTAGAACACATCACAGAGGTTCTGTGAATTACTGAAATTGAAGGACACAAAGCTAAATGGACGAGGCTGCTAAGAGAGGAGGGAGAGAAGGCTCCCAACCTTCTTAGAGCCGGCTCCCAAAGGGGAGAGCCGGCTCTAGGATCCTAGAGCCGGCTGTAGGTGAAAGGTTGGAGCAGGCTCCCATTTTTAGTGAGCCTGCTCTTCTTGAAACATACTGTAACGAATTTTTTTGTTAAAACCCTTGGATTTTCAGGGTTCTGCAATTAATTTAAATTGTTTTCAATGATGGGTTGGATTGTTTAAGGCTGGTTTCATGTGGAGAAATATTAATTCATAGCTGGATTAAAGATTAGAGTAAGGAGAACCTAAAAGAAAACTGGTAACTTGCACACTATCTTGTGGGTTTTGATTACTGAAATTGGGTAAGGTTTTTATATATGATCTAAATATGTATAATGGAATATTAGTCCAGTATTATAAGTATTGTGAATTACTTATATTTAACTATACCCAGATTGGATTAAACATGATACTCAAATTGTCATGATTGTATTGATTTATCGGCGGTTTTGAACATTAAACTAGGTACTGGAGTTTGGAATTACCGTGTTATATAATTTATTATTTAATAATATTTAAACAGAAGTATAAGAATAGTAAGTGCTTAAAATCATCTATTCTTGATTGGGAATAAATTGATAAAACTTATCAATTTAAGGATTCTATGGAGGATAGGAGTATTATGATTTGTATTAGCATTTTAAATGATTAAAATGAGATGTGGATTCTGTAATAGTTCCTATTGACTTGTTATATGTATTAAATGGTATTTGTGCATATTATGGATAATGGTTGATGATTATTTAATACTGTTTATCAACTATGTTAAATTGGAGGATGGTATGTACCGGTATGGGATGGTGACATACTAGATGTGGACTAGATTAAATACTAAGTCCTATCTAACATGGATTAAGGTATGAATTAATCGTATAGGTTAAGTCCATCACCTACATGTGTCATATCAGTTGTGAATTGAATGACCTACTATTGGGAGGAGTATGGACTTTATATATATATTATATGGTGCCGTGGTATGAGCTTGAGTTTCGTGACCATGGTTAGGGAGCGTATATCGCCTAGGATGGATAACTGGACATAGGTGTTGTTCCCTGGTAGGTCTAGGTACTCATGCCCACCTTAGGGTGCGTATTCGCATGTTACCTTCTATTCAGGCTGAGACAGACCTACTGGACTAGCGAGCGTCCTATAGTGTGCACTATATACTTATATGGACTACTCTAGATATTGTTGAGTCTTCCTAGGATGTATCTGCGTATCGGATTACTATTTGGATTGTAGTAGATCAGGAGTTGCATGTGGGCCTGACCCACTTCTTTATTTTTCAGGTGCTCGTCAGTTCCAGGGTTAGAGTTTGGACGTGCAGAGCAGATACAACTATTCACTCCTCCGAGTATGTAGGAATTTTCTCTATGTTAGCTTTGGATTTTATTTTTATTATTTCAGTATCGTTTGGAGAATTTAAATAAGGGGTCCAATGGATGGATTCCCGAGTTGTAAACTTATGGAGTTTTGGATTATCAGGTTTTAAGTATTTAATTATAAAGGATTGTGTTTCTAGATTCTTTCAGCTTATTATTATTTTTATTTCGTATTTCATCTTGTATTCTGTGTTCGGTTACATATTAATTGTTTGACATCCCTCGGGTTTTGGGCCTGGGCCTGATCAACCCGTGTCTCGGATCCGAGGGGTATCACACATGTCCCTTTCCTAAAAAGGTATGTTCTGATTTCATAACAACTCTATAACAAACATAATTGGACTACGGAAGATAAAGCCCTAAGGTGATGAACCTCACTGACTCATCACTTTGAGAAATTTCATTGCTCTGTAGAAGGCAAAAGCCTAACCAAGAACCAGGAGATATTATTTCTAAAGTTCCACCACTTCCAAACAGTTGTTAAAACTCTCAATAAAAAGGTTTGGGCTCCATTAAAAGGAGAACCCTAAGCCCTTATCAAAATTTTAGGAAAACTTACATTCGTCTTCTCGGGTTTCATATTTATCAAAAAATACAATTCAATAACCCAATTTGGGTCACATAATCAGGAATTCCTCTTTCTTTTTAAATAAGGGTGTTTGATTTCACTGCTTTCTTTAACTATACATACTTTTCACATATTTAAAAGAATCATGGCTAAGCCTTGGCTAGACCACAAGAGCAGTCCCCAAGTAAATTGAAAAACCCTGTGATTGAGGTCATAGGGTACACTCGGAGAGAAAGATATAGAAGACAATTGACAAGACATTTTTATTATCAAGCATGGGGAAAAAAAAGTCACCAGTACAACTAATATTGAAAAGGAGAGGTAGGTCACATCAAATATTAAAAGACGTGGAAATTATTATTCTCATAGAAATGAGAAATGAACTTCACCAACAGAGTCTGTTTTCTAATGTATATTACTTTTAAAACGAGAAGAGATTTTGTGAAGGTAACTGCTATCAACAACAGGGTAAGAAAGTGCTTGTGTGAATATTCATTTGCAAACATCATTTAGAAACCACTATGTCTGCGCAGTCCATAAAAATAATTTTACTTTTTTTACATCATATTCACAAGAACATGCTTGCCAACATTACTACTTTCTTTCCTGATCTTTATGGATTCTGTATATCACACATAACATTCATAATATCTCATGGATCTAAATAATGAAATATTATTCACATTTCCATGGTTGGATTAGCCCTACAAGCTTGCAGTCAAGCAATCAACAATTTGCTCTACAAGAATACTTGCCTTAACCCAGTACCGATCTTTCCAACAGATGCTGCTATCATCCTGTGAATATACAACAAAAATTTAAAAGCATGAGTACATAAACTATTTAACAGGGTAGGCTGCCGAGGTTATCTATATTCTTAGGCTGTCTAATTGCTAAACTACTAAATCAAGATATAATTTAAGCTACCAAGAAAGTTATACCCTCAGTAATAAATGAGTATACAACTTTTTATTCCTTTCTTTAACACGCCTAAATTAGTGGTTGAAGGAGGAAAAACTCCTGAAATTCAGAAGTCCAACCAACTATAGAATGAATAATGACTTCTAAAATTTCAAATCCTAGTTTAAAAGATAATCACTCTTAAAAACTGTAGAATACTTCATCACTAGGCAATTGCATATTCCTAAGGTACAAATAGTGGTTAATTTAGGCTTGTTTGGTGTTCGGGAAAAGAAATCTAGGAAATTAATTTATATAAAACACCAGCACTTTGATACTAGTCATCTATTTGATAAAATCGACTTTAGGACCACATTTTGAAGCAAATATGCTAGATATATTAATCTTTTCTATCTCATGCAATGCAATTACATCAATAACATAGAAGACGAATTAATAATCCGCAATGGATGCAGCCTAATCCAACAGCATGAACTCACTTCTTATTATGATGCTGTGATGAAGCCTCAAGAAGAAAAGGGTAAGATAATCCGACAATTCACCTTTCCAACAACTAGCATTGGTATCAAGAAAGAAGGAACCGCTGAAACCAGTCCCAAAAGCAGATACTCCAATTCCGTAAAGCTCTGCAAATCAAGAATGATCAAGTAAACTGACATTTTAAATAACGTCCAAAATATATGTGACCACACGGCGCGTGTGTGTGTGAGATAGTGAAAGAGAGAATTTGTTTCCCAATAAATATATAAATAAATATGTATATTTGTATTCCAATAAATCAGTATATAGAGAGCACTACTAAAACCCATGCGTATAAAATATTATCAATCAAAAAAGGAACGCTTTTAGCTATGGTTTCAATCTATAACATTAAAATTCAAAAGTTGACTGAACTAAGGAACCCTCATCAGTATTTACCCAAAAACAGGAAACCCACATCAGTGACTACATTACCATAACCACAAGCTCTTATTCAGTCCTATTTCTATATTATTGATTCAGGAGACTTAAAAGTGCACAAGAGATAGAGTTCAGAACACTGAATATACAAGAAAGAAAAATGGAGACCATTATTGATCCTTTTTCAAAACCAGCAAAATTTAAACCAAAAAACTAAAAAGAAAATAATCAATTTCCTTGAAGCAAATCCGATAATTCTAGAGTGTTTCTAACAAAGCAATTAGCAATCACTATATTAACACATAAGTTTGATCTGCATTAGCTACAAAATCCAACTTTGGCAGTATACAAGCAAATACAAAGAAATTTACTTATCCGCAATACATCAATAATTCATTTTGTACTAATAGAGCTCGAAGGAAATCACTTTTCAATGAATAACACACATATGCAGATTGTATGTAAGAAACCTCGTAGAGCTTGTATGGAACGACAATTCCAAGGCAAAGAGTGAGCCAAAATGGTGTGTAGATAAGAAAAAATAATTCGCCCCATCTCTTGCTTGGATTGGGAGCAAACCACAAACTCGAACTACAAGAAGCTACTTCGCTACCTGTGAATATATACACATACATATATACATCAGTGTAATTTTATCAAGAAATTGCTGAAACTTTGGAGAGTGTCAAAGTACAAAACTCTAAGAAAACCCTAATTTGGAGGAAAATGAACTTACCTCCCATTTCGTTAATTGGGATCTAACGCTTTTCTCTCGGATGGACCTCGGACACAACCGAACTGAAGTGTGAGAGGAGAAGGCTCAAATGCGTTGACCATATGACCTTTTATTTTAATGTCAAAAATACCCTCTGAAATATATGGAATGACTAATTTTACCTTTTATGAGTTGGCATAGTTGTAAATTTAGGGCAATGTAAATACATTGAATTTTGTTTTTAAAGTCTAAATTGAGTGTGGGAAGAAATTTAACTAGTTAAATGTTTGGGAATAATAGTTATCATATAAATGTTATTTTTTTTAATAACATAACATTGTAAGTATTAAAACTTTTCTTTATTTTCTTCTTTTTTTCAAAAAAAATTATTGATCTATATCATATATTTATCTATTTTATCAATTGATGTCATGATTAAAAAGTGTGCACAAAGCATACGCACGTATTATGATTCGTCACATCGGCCGATACGCGATGTATAGTCCGATTTGTAATCTTTCTTCAATAGTCTGATATTGTTACACATTTCATAAATCGATTGATTTATGATCGCAACCGATTCATACATATATAACACTTTTTTTTAACATGAGTACACTATCGGGGATAATTAACTCCCTCCAACTCACTCAACAGTCGACTGTTGTTGAGCGATAAATCCCTCCTTCATCACACACAACGGAAGCATCATCACATCACATCACATTAACACAAGCATATATAGAGATAACAATCATACACATCCACGCACAACACAATATTTTACATAGTTTACCCAACTCTAGGGTTACGTCCATGGGAGAGAAAGATTTTTCTATTATGAATCAAGGAAGAGAATATACAACCACATGTCAAAACCCCACCCACTTACTCATCATCTCCTTTGAGGCTACATGTATACACTCGAGAATTACATATACTCTCCTCTCTCCTCGTAGCACTCACCCTTAAACCTTTTACATATTTTCTCTCTTCTCTCTCTCTGAACCCCTCATACCCATCTCCATTTATAGAGTCTTCAAAACTCAATTTCTTGTTGGACAAGTATTCTTCAAATCCAATTTCTTGTTAGACAAGGATCAACTTACCTACAAGGAGTTACCATATCCATCTTCAACTCTAAAATAATAGGTATAACTTCTCTCCCAAATCTTTAGCCTTTTTCCCCAAGTCTTCTGGATTCAAAAACCAATCAGGAAACTATTTTTCGCAGCTTCCAAAACGAAAAAGGAAACTAATTTTCTACACACAAATTTTGAGCTACAAACCCAACATACACACAGTAATATTAGTTATTAAAAGATCAAATTATTGGCAGCTTTTGTAATGGACCTTGTATTTCCATTCAATAGGAGGGCTGTTTTTTTTTTTTTTTAGCCTAACTTAGTTTAGAAGTGAAACAAACAAGGAAAAAAATTGCATAAAAGTATAATTTAGTGACATCTTTAGGAGTTAGGTGGTACAATTTCCTCTCTAATTCTTCATGATTGAGATTTTATTTTATTTTTTACAATCTGTGATTTAGAAAAAAATATATATATTGTATTAGAGGAAGTATCTAGTTTGTAATTTCTCTTTTTATTGTCTTTTTTTTATTTTTTGAGGATATTATTGATTATGAAAGTGAGAGAAAAAGGAGGTGCAGCACTCTAAGAAGCACAAATACTTTTCTTAATGTGTCGTGGTGGTATCAAAGTAACTTTTCGGACTGATATTGTTTTGATACGTGACGATACGACATGACCAAAAATACAAAATTAAATACAATTTAAAATATATTATGGGTTAGTTAAAAAATACTCTAAAATTTAAGAAAACAAAATTAATTAAAAATTTACCTCTAAACTACAAATTGTTGATTTATTTATGATTCTACGAATAAAAAAAAATATATATATATATCCATATTCAATATTCGTATCCGGGCATCCTAGGTAGCATTCATTGGTGAGAAAATTAGAGAGAGTAAACAAAGATGGTTTGGACACCGGCATCTAACATAGAGAGTCAAAACAGAAAGATTGGTTATAATACAATGCAAGAGAGGAGGAACAACCAAACAAGATTAAAGAGAAAGAATTAATGTGTCTTACCCCATTTATATAGTATTAAAGCAAAAATAATGATGATGATAATGATAAGAGTTAGTTTAACTTTCTATTTGCACTTATGTTGAAAATTTTAGAAGTTTTTCAATCTTCTTTACAACATAAGTTTTCTAGTGGGCCTATTATTATTATTATTATTTATGTTAGTGGCCTATTTATTTTTATTTTGTTGGGGTCTATTTATGTTTGCTTATTTATTCTATTTAATTGGGCTATTATGTGATTTATTGGCTCTATTTAATTTGACTATTACAAGAACTTAGCTTTGCCTACATTAGCTTAGTTCTCCTGTAGAAATTTTAGCTTCTATCCCTCCTCGGTTAATAGGCTTTATTTTTTATTTTTGGACAATAGTTAGATTCCCGCAAGGTTACGAGGCAGGAGGGAGAAATGTCATTCACTCCACTCTGTCAGTTTATAATGATAAATTATAATTTTGTTCTTATATTTTATTTTATATTCAATAATTTTATGTATATATTGAGCAAATTTTAATTTATTCTATTTCAATCACTAAATATATATTTTTTTGTATTATTCTTATTGGAAAACTTCTATGTATTATTTTGGTGTTCTTATAATAAAATTAAGTCTCAAGTTTGTATTAAGAAGTTGAATTTTGCTTTTATCCGCATAAGAGAAAAATAATTATTACTATAATTAAAATTTGGTTTCATTATTTACTTTCATTATATTCTTAATACAATGACAAAAGCACTCTAAAAACTCACCCGTTCTGTTTTCATCCCTAGATTCATCCTCATCACATTTATGGAACAATCCTTGTTATTTGTTAAATAATAGTAGCATGTATTTATAGTTTACCATTCTTCCTAATTATATAACAAATTACTTTTATTGTTTTTCTTTTGCAGGGAGAATCTTTATGCTGCTAGATGCGTTGCAAACTTCAACAAAAATTACTTTGAAATTTTATCACTATAAACTTCACCATTTTGAATTTAAAAAATTTAAATGGTGAATTTATCATTTTTATGGACTTAAACACCATAATCTTCACCATTTTTAAAATTTAAAATAATGAATTTTACCATTATGAAAGTAGCGAAATTTAACATTACAAGAACCAAGATAAAAAGTTATAGAAGAGGATTTCGATTCTATGTTAGGCGAGGAATTTTCTATTTTACCATTATGAAAGTAGTAAAATAGCATGAACACTATTAAAAGATAAAAGAATTTGAGTCAAACAAGTCACAAAAAATTAAATTTTTATATTTATAATTTTTTTAAAAAAAATTATCTTCATATTCAATATTTTTTATTCTTCAACAATGCTTCCACAAAAAAAAATTCTGAATTCTTGACTGATGTCATGTTAGAAGTTCCTTGGCTTCCATTAGGTGCAAATTATGTATGAGTTGAATTATCAGATTTCTCATCCTCATTCCCGCAACTTTTTGTCCAACTTAGTGCCCAAACGGAAGTTGATTGTCCAAACCTTTTTTTAACGGTCCAGATCTTAAATATTCGGTGTAATTCAGTCTTGGTCGTCCATAATGGAGCAATCATTGTCAAGAAATTAAAGACTTATTTGGTTTGTAACTTTAAAAACAGTTCTAAAGAATTTAGAAAACACAAAACAGTTTTCTGAAAATAGTATTTTTTATAATTGAATTTTTTTATAAAAAAATTTAAAAAATTAAATCAAACAGAATTTTTTGTATAATTTATAATTTTTAAAAAACAAAAAACTGTTGTCAAAACAAGGCCTAAATAGTTGGAATGGTATCCAATTTAGTTTGTGTGTATGCCTGTGCAAGTCATGGTTTGAAAATGATTAATGGCATAAAATAATACATCGTTGATGTTTTATGATACTCCAACGACACCCACCCCCACATGTGATCTTTTCTGAAAACAAAAACTGTTCTCAAAACATGGCCTAAATAGTTGGAATACTATCCAGTTTAGTTTGTCTGCATGTGTGTGCAGATCATGGTTTGAAAATGATTAATGGCATAAGAATAATAATAATTCATGGTTGATGTTTTATGATACTCCAACAACCCCCACCCCACATGTGATATAGTACGCTAATCCAATCCCTCACATACTCCGATGACATCATGCAACTAACTCAACGAAAATTTCGCAAATTCAGTTTGACTCGCCCCAAATTTGCAGTATAATTATCATCTACCGTAGCTAAGAAAGGTTGTTAAAAAATCACTTTTCAATTTTGCAATATAAATCAATCCAAATTTATCTGTATAATACATACATATATATATATATATGTGTGTGTGCGCAAGTTATATTTTTATACAGGGGTGGCAAATTTTAACATGATCCGCCAACACGACATAAGTTAAACGGGTTTGAATTGATCGTAAATGGGTTCGGATCGTAATGGGTCGCCAGACTCGACACAATTAACTCATTCGTATTTGGATTAAGGGGTTCAACTCATATAATCCGTTTATACACATTTAACTATACGTGTCATAAATAAATTTATATTTAAATTCCAAAATTAATATATAAAATTGTGTCTAATAATTTATTTTTTGTAAACTAAAAACTATTTAGTAATTTAGTGGGATTAAAACTTATATTTTTCTTTTTCTTTTTTCTCTTCTTATTCATTTTTTATTCACTTATTCTAATGTATTAATTTTACACTATTATATCTTCGGACTGTTTGAAAATAAATTTTTTTGTCAGTATTAACATGTCCATTGAGCCAAATTTCTGGCTCCGCCTTTGACCATAACCAAGTACCTTTGATGGAATATAAGTGTTTTAATGTAAAACGATACGAATTTTGAGTTTTCCAATGCTATTTATATATATTATTGATTCAGGAGCCTCAAAAAAAGTGCAGGAGAGATATAAGTTAATATACCAGAAAGAGAAAAAAGGAGACCATTATTGATACTTTTTCTAAACGCTGCAAAATTTAAAACCAAAAAAGAGAAGAAGAAAATAATCAATTTAGAATTT